GGTGGAAAAGCCTTCTCAGGGGACAGCACAGCATGAGCAAAGGTGTAGAGGAGTGAAGCCATATGTCCTGTGAGTCAGAGCTAGTAACTTGAATTATTGTAGAAGGAATGCTGGTTCTTAGAAAACCTCAGGGGAAATACGCAAGCAGGGTGGCTTCGAGGCTGCCTTCCTGTGCGTCCACAGAGGCTTCTGCTAACGCTAGAAAAGTGCCTTCCCACAGGGCAAGTCTGGTTCAGGTGGTCAACTCTCGGGGTCCAAAATCTAGATCAGACATGCTTGGTTTCCCCTCCTCACTCGAGTACAGCAAAGCTTTCTGGCTTTTGTGCATTGAAGAAAAGCAAGGCTCTGTCCCCAAAGAGCGTAGGAGGTGACTCTTTGTTTTTGTTGAGGCCAGGTAAGTGATGCTGTAGGCAGTGGTGCCCAGTCTCCAGCTGCCACAGAACCACTTACGGCTGGGATGCAGCACCTGTCCACCCAGCTGATGCCCAAAGCACCTCGTGGGTTGGGAAGAGGGCACAGAACAGCTGTGCCTGCAGAGAGGGAGCTATGCTGACTCCATACAGAGAGGCTCCTCGGTCTGTGTCATCACTGTGAGGGTATGAGGTCCAGCCCACCCGGAGTGAGGGCGTGATGCCCAGAAGACAGCAGGACCCTCATGTCTTCCATGCAACTTATTTATAGCCTAGCGATGGTAATTTGTGGCAATCACAGAATTTAATCCTATAATCACACCGCAAGAGGGCACTCAGCCCAGCGAGGCTGGAAAACTTGCCAGGGCTCACGCAGAGGGACTTGGCAGCGGTGCAGGGGAGCGTGCAGCAGCGATGTCCCCAGCAGCCTTCAGCCCACTGTGTCAGTGGTGGCCTCAGCTCTAGGCCCTGGAATAATCATAGCAGTGAACACCTGTAGCACTTTTTATAGCCTATACCCTGTTCTACACTAGTTATCAAAGACATTTCCTTGTGGAGGAAGTCAGATTTTTCTGCCCTTGGAGCTATAGCCGCTGAACAATTTTATAGTTATTTTTTTTTGTACCAGGGATGGAACTCATGACCCCACGCTTGCCAGGCAGGCGCTTGTGCCGCTGAATTGTATCCCCGGCTTCTAAGCCAGTTACGGACATGAGCTTCTTCACCCTCCTAATAGTTCTGCGAGGTAGTTACTATTAGTCCTATATCCCAGATGAAGAAACTCAGGCACTGGGTTACCTAGCTCATCAGAGGCAGGAGTGGGCCCTCCCTGGTGGTGCTTCCCTGTAACCCCAGCACTCTGGGAGGTTGAGGCAGGAGGACAGCAAGTTCAAAGCCAGCCTGGAAAACTTAGCAGCTTTGTGAGACCCCCTCTCAAAGCATTAAAAAGGGCTGGAGGTGTAGCTCAGGGTGCAGGCCCTGAGCTCTCAATCCCTAGCACGCAAGAAAAAACGAAAGCCAAGTCCAGAATCCAGCGCTCTGGCTCCGGCATCCACAGCTTACTCACAGCCTTACCAGCCGCAGAGGCAGAGATGCTCCAGGTCCCCACACCCTGCGTGGTCTCAGCCCTGTTCCTGCTCCCTATCCTCCTGCTTCACCCACTCCTGAGATACTGCGCTCACAGCTGCCTCGTGTCGGCTTCCTTCCTGGATGCTTTTCCACTGTGGTAGCCGCTCCATGTTGTGGGGAGAGGGCCTGGGGCAGCAGGACTTTCTCTGTTATGGTGCTCTGGTCCATTTGTGCTTCGTGTTTGTGCCGAGTTGGCTTGTCCATCTCACAGGGAAGCTATGTGGTTCAGAAGGACAGGGCAGCACCTGGAAAATCATCAGATATGAAGTTCTCCAGCTGGGTTCCCTTGGTCTTATTTATGTGGCATGTGGCAAGTTTGATGTGGGTTGTCCTGGAAGCTGGGTTGTTTGTGCCTCAGTTTGCTTATCTGTAAAATGGGACCAAGAACAAGAGCCTCCAAAACCAAAGGGTAATCGTGTAGACTGAGATGACACTTACAAAGTACACAGTGCTCAGCATGTAATATTCATTAGTGCCTGATAAAAGTGGACCATTCCTGTAGTCTTTTATTATCACCCTGTCCTGAGCCCAAGGCCTGGGTCTCCCATAGCCAAGTGTAGGGCCATTTTTAGCACATTAGGAATGATGCAGCAGGGGCATTTGAAAGTAACACGCAGAGCCAGGCTCAGGATGGTTTTATTTCTCCTCCCCCTAACAGCCAAACCTCTTCAATAGAAAATGATTTCCCCTCTCTGTGGGCAGCAGCTCTGAGCTCATACACAGTGACTGTCAGTCCAGGGTGGTGTCCGTGAGGACAGAAGTTTTCAGAAATACGCTTCCTGGCTCCTGCCCTGGAACTCTTTTGCAGAGCCCCTTTCCTCGGGGCTGGCAGTGGCTGAGGAGGTTGAGGCAGACACAGGTTGGCTAGGGATGCCCACAGAGCCTGTGAGAAGGTCCCTCCCCAGCTGTGACTCACAGTGGGGAGCAGCAGACTCCCAGGGGAGAAGCGGGAGTGTGGGTTCGGAAAGGTTGTCCTCCCTAGAGTGGTTTTCTGTTAATGAAGCAAGCGGGCGCTTCGCAGTCCAGCTGTGGGTTTTGGCTGGCAGAGGAAGTGGTGTCTTCTGGGAGAGAGTGGGCTGGATAGAGGAAGGCTTCCTCAGGGGTTGGTATGTGGAGGTGGTACTGGGTGTCTTTGAGGTCCCTCTGCACCGGCAAGTCCTGTATCATGACACTTGGGAGCGGAGGTGTTAGTTCAGTGGTTGGCACGTTTCTCTGTGACGGTCTCGGCAATGAACATTTCAGGCTTTGTGGGCTGAACGCCTGCCGCCACTACTGAAGTCTGCGCCACAGCGTAAGCGCAGCCAAGGCTCTAACAACACTTGTTTGTGAAAGCAGACGGGACCGCTGCATTGGAGAAAGGAGAGTCAGAGAGGACTCCCCGGAGGAGGCCCTGAGTCAGGCAGCTGGAGAGCCAGGGGAGCTCTTCTGGGAGTGACCTGCTTCCCCCCAAAACTTGTGGGTGATGCCAAATGTCACAGCAAATGCTGGGCTGACGCCTTCCCCAGACTACGGTCCTTACTGACTTCAGAGCTTCAGTGAGCTTCCTTCCTTCCCTCCCCGGCCCACCTTTCTTTCTTTTTCTTTTTCTTTTTGCAGTGCTAGGGATGGAACCTGGGGTCTAACACTTGACAGGCAATGACTGAACTATACCTCTCGCCCAAGCCAGATACTTTACAATTTTTTTTAATTTTAAAGAGAATGGAACAAAACAGAACAAAGCAGATCAGAACAAAACAATGCAAGCAACACAGGATTTCAGAACAAGACAACAGGAAATCAGCACTGGCTACCATAATGTCTCTTGTTTTCTTCGAAATAGCTGTCCATATCTTCACACACAATGAATTCAAACAAGATAAAACAGTATAAAACTGATTAGAACGAAAGAATGAATGCATTATGGGTTTACAAAACCAGACAATAGGAAAATCAGCAGTAGCAACCATAATGCCTCTTGTTCTCTTCAAAATAGCTGCCCATACCTTCACACATTTTGCAACTAAATAATACAAAACAGACTAAAGCCAATCAAAACAAAGAATAAAAGCATTACTGGACTTTACAACAACATGATAGGAAATCAGCAATGGCTACCATAATGTCTTTTTTGTTTTTTGTTTTTTGTTTTTTGTCTTTTTCCTTTTTATCGGTACCAGGGATCGAACTCACGACTGCCTGCTTTCAAGGCAAGCGCTTATGCCGCTGAGCTAAACCCCCAGCCCCTACCATAATGTCTTGTTTTCTTCAAAGCAGCTGTTCATACCATCACAGGTAAAAAATTCAATTCTTGTAAACTCTTTAGGAGAAGTTCTAGGCATGTATAAGCCTATACATGCACATCTGTCTTTTCTATATTAGAGGGAAAAATGAAACTAAAACAAATAAATAATAGTAACAAAGAGCCCAAGACAATGACAATGTAGGCCTTCAAAACAAGGTGGTGGGAACATAACTAAGGTTTTTATTTTGCATAATTATCTTTAAAAGAATTCCTCAGACTACCAGATACAGACATGCAAGATTGATTCAATCCTATGAATGTTAACTGTTTTGTTCCAAGAACTAATAGAATTAGTAGCACAATCTTAGCTATCTTAACCAACCAGATGCTTTTGAAAAAACTGTTTATCTGCTTGTGTTAGTGAGGGTTGTCCAGGGAAACAGACTCAACAGGAGAAACAGAGTTACACAAAAGGATTTATTAACGAGATTGGCTCCTGCAGCTCCGGAGGTGAAGAAATTTAGTAATCTGTGGGCCAGTGGAGGTCCAGGAGAGCGAGGGGGTTTGTCTTGGTTTCAGCCCAGAGCAGAGGTCTGAGGGCATCCAATGAGGAGGAGCCTGATGAGTGAGGCCATGAGGGATGAGCATCTATGGCAAGTAAGAGGGTGGACTCGCCTTTTCCCCGCGCTGGTGTTCTTGGTGCTCACCCAATCTGGCGGGGCTACCTCCTTTCTACAAGATGTCCTCATGGAAAGGTTAACTGCTCCTGGAAGCACCCTGGCAGGCACACTGGAGCATCATCTTTCTCCAGCTGTCTGTGTACCTGTTAGTCCAGTCAAGCAGACATGGCTCTTCCAGACGTGCTGGTGTGAGTGTGTGTGTCTCTAATACTGTCCATGACCATAAGTGGCCGTCATCAGAGGACGCAGAGAGTTGCTGTTGTGTTTGGTAAACAAGAGTAGGACTGCTCGTGCTAAGGATGCTTCTCCCCAATCATGGTGGCCAGTATCCATGGTGACCAAACTCTGCTGCTCTTTCTTTTCTTAGTAGGACAAAGTGTTTCATGATAGGTGGACTTCGGAGGGAGAGGCTGGATACAGTGACTGTCCCAACCCCAGACCGTGATTCTGATTCCCCTGTAAGCCAGGGCCTCTGCTAATCAGCCAGCTGGGTCCGTAAGTGTCCAGTGGCTGTGAGAGTGGTGGGCTGGACACTAAGCTCTGCTTCTGTCCCCTTTGCAGGAGAACTGTACCGGGTATCCTTGAGAAGACAGAGATTCCCAGCCCAGGGAAGCATCGAGATCCATGAAGACAGTGAGGTGGGCCAGGTTTCCCGAGACGTACAGTCCCATCTGTGGTCAGGGATTTAGGAAGAGCCCTGGGGCAGTGGACAGGCTGCCCAGCTTTCATCTTGCTCTTTGAACTGGGAAACTTCCTGTCTTTCTCTGGGCTTCAGGCTCCTGTATAAACAAGAAAGATGTGTTCCGACTCTCCCTGCCCTGATAGCCTTTGAGGGTCTTGCCCTCCTCTCCTGCCTGGCAGCACAGGAGAGGCTGCAGAGCTCCTACACTTGGAACTCAGGCCACCACCTCCCCATGTGTGTGTGTCTCCGTGTGCCCTGGCTCTCCTACTCCCTGCCTTTCTGTCCCCACTGATGTCCCTTTAGGAAGGCTGCTCTCAGCGCTCCTGTAAGACTCACGTGCTCCTGCTGGTGCTGCACGGTGGCAACATCCTGGACACAGGCTCAGGGGACCCTGCCTGCAAGGCAGCTGACATCCACACCTTCAGCTCCGTCCTGGAGAAGGTCATGCGTGCCCACTTCCCTGCTGCCCTGGGCCACATCCTTATCAAGTTCATTCCCTGTCCCGCCATCTGCTCCGAGGCTTTCTCACTGGTCTCTAAGTGAGTTTGTGTCTACTTGTTTGGCTACCTGGTTGGTGTGAGCTGAGGGGACTGAGTGGAGGAGCTGCCTCGCCTTGCGGGGGTGGCATGTGGGCACCTGCCAGGGACTCTGGGGAGTCAGATCCAGACGGCCATGAGCATCACTGGTACAAAGTGGTCAGCAAGACTCCTCTGCTGAGGATGGCTGGTGCCAGGGTCCTCATGGTAACTTGGAGCCACTTCCTGTGCTGAGTGGACTTGACCCCTTTGGCCAAGATAAGGAAACTGAGGCATTGATAGAGGTAGCTGTTATTTAGCAAATGGAGCCAGACTAAGGCAGCCTTCCTTCCATGCCACACTTTTATAGTCTGGGAGGTAAGATTCTGTGGTGGAGGTGGCCAAAGGCACTACGGGCACTTGGGGAGAAGGCTAGGGAAGACGTCCCAGAGGAGGTGACTTGGGTTACTGTGATAACATGGATATGTATTGTGGCCATGCAGTCCAGTCTGGATTTAAGTGCTTGTGGTGTGATGGAGGGAAAGTGTTTAACCTTTCCCTGCCTCAGCTTCCAGCTCTGTAAGACGTGGTACTGACTGTGTCCTAGAGATGTTGGGAGCATTCTGTATGCTGGTGTGTGTGCAACCCTTAACCCAGTGTGAGCTCCTGTAGAGCCCTCATGGGCTGGGATAGCAGCTACGACTGGCATTGCCATCCTCTTGGGGGAGGAGGTACTCTCTCTGTTCGGTGGAGAGCAGACTGGGAAGAGGGTGGGGGGCAGAGAGGATAGAGATGGCATGGACGGAAGCTCAGGCTGTGCACTGGGAAGTTCCCTTACTGTAGATGCTGGCAGGTCCCTGCCCACTACCGGCAATGTGTGTGGAGCTGCAACTCGAGTGACCGCAGCCTCCAGGGTCTCTGGGGATCCTACTCACTGCGTAGGATCTGAGGGCTCCAGAGCTCCTCAGGTGCCCCAGGCTGACCAGATGATGGTGGGTACCTGGAGCCAGGGCATCCTGGTTTCTCATGGATTGTCTGCAATCAAGGTCCTGAGCAACGGCAGGGCTGAAAGCATTTGGCAAATTATTGGAACTAGAAGTTGGAAGCTGGGAGCTCTCTGCAGCAGGGTTGAAAGGGAGCTGTGGACACCTCCATCTGGCCCCTTGGTGATGACACGATCTTGTCAAAGCTGGAGGCTGCTGCCAAGGCTGGGACAGCCTCTGCCTCCTGGGGCTGGGGGAGGGTGGGAGGTGCTCCACCAAGAGCCGGGGGAATGGGTGGCTTAGTCACAGGGGCTCCAGGAGGGTTCCGCTGAGCAGCCTGCCCTGCTCAGCAGTGTGGGACGAACTGAAGTCCCCCTGCCTAAGGCTCCAGTGGGTCTGGAGACAGCTTGGGCTGGACCCTTCCCTTCTCTGGCTCCTTGCCCTGTGCTGGACGGGGCAGAGACTGATGTATCTTGTTCCCAGGATGCCTGTAGGCAGATCTCAAGGAGAGGTAAAAGGGAGGAAGGAGGGGGATTAGGTCAGCGGCTGTGCCCAACCTTGCTAATTGCCCGAATCCCTGGCGTGATGCTTGTCAGACTGCAAGATGTGCAGGATTACCCCAGAGCTGAGCCAGGATGCTGGGCCCTGGAATCTGTAACAGGTGTTCACTGCTTCCTGTCTGAGAAAACTTCGGGAGCTGCCAAGCCTAGGGTGGCGTCTTGGGTCCCCAACAGGCCAGAGTTAATAATCGCGCCAGTTCATAGTCAATCTTGGGACCCCCGCTGCTCTCCTCCCCCGGAACATCTGTCCTCCAGAGCTGGGTCAGCCCGACACCCAGAAAGATGAATATCCTGGCCATTTGAGAGGATAGCAGGAGGGAGCTTACCTCTACCCCAGGCAGCTTCTTGCCAGGGCCATTAATCACCCCGTAATCACTGCTGGGAAGGAGTTCTTTCTCAGCTAATTAAAACCTTTCTGGCTGCAATCGAGGCATTTCCTCTAATTTGTGTTCTTTGGAGATGAGGAATGGCTGGTAGGACTGGCCTTACACACCCCGAGAGCTTTCCCACCTGTCGCGAGTGCCCGAGTCCAGTGACCTGTCCTAAATTCTGTTGGGTCCCCAGTAAGATCTGCACTGTGCCCTGGGTCAGGCGAAGCTCAGACTGCAGAGGAAGGGCAGGCTCTGGGCAGGGAGTGGGAGCTTCAGCTTCCCTCCGTGTGCCTGCCGACCCGCCAGTCCTCACCGTGCAGCAGGGTGGGGTGCATCCGAGAACAGGGAGGCAAGGTGATGGTGAACAGGTTGCTGGGAGCCTAGTTTCGGGTGGTCTGAGCTGTCCAGAGAGGGATGGACTTCCTAGTAGGGGTGCAGCAAAGCCCAGCCTGTCCCTGGAAGTGGAGAGGCTGCAGGACAGGCTCTCAGCTCTTTCTACAAAGCTGGATCCTCTCCACCGCACAAGGCACGCAGCAGTGAGCAGGCAGTGAGGTTCCCACTTTCAAGCTTGGAACAAAAAATGTAAAAAGGGGGTGGGGATGGATTGCAATGCAAAGGCCCTGGGGTTCCACCCTCATACCACATCAGAAACAAAGGCCTCACTGGCCTAAGTGCTGCAATTCTTGAATGTCCTGCTTTGGGCCTTCCAGCCTTCCAGCAGGTCCCAGATGGGATAGGATGGGATGGGATGGGATGGGATGGGGGCCGCAGTGTGATCCCCTTCCGCCCTTCAGAGCTTTCTTGAGGCCCTGCAGGAAGCCTGCCATGGTGTTGTGTCCCTGTCCTGCTCCACAGCAGCTGGCTCCTCAGCTGATGTCTTCTTCTAGAGCTGGGGTGTCCTCAGGGCCATGCAGCAGAGGGCACCAGAGCACTGTTGGCCACACCTTGGGCTGGCGTGGGAAGGACACAGGGGATGGGCAACAGCGTGAATCTCCGTGTCCTCCTCTTCCTGCCTCTGTTGCCTGTGCTCTGTCTCACCTGGGCCTTGCCTTCATGGAAAGTCCCTGGAGCTGGGGGCCCAATGCTGGCCAGTGCATGCCCTCTTCTGCCTATGTCGAAGCCCCATACCCGCCCTACCCCGATCCCAGCCGGGCTTACCGGGGGCTCCTGTCTGCAGCCTGAACCCTTACAGCCATGACGAGGGCTGCCTCAGCAACAGCCAGGACCATGTCCCGCTGGCTGCCCTGCCCCTGCTCGCCATCTCCTCCCCGCAGTACCAGGATGCCGTTGCCATGGTCATTGAGCGAGCTAACCAGGTCTACAGCGAGTTCCTCAGGTCCTCTGATGGGATTGGATTCAGCGGGCAGGTAGGACAGCCTCCCTTCCCTTCCCTTCCCATCCCATCCCATCCCATCCCATCCCATCCCATCCCATCCCATCCCATCCCATCCCATCCCATCCCATCTGGGAACTGCTGGAAGACTGGAAGGCCCAAAGCAGGACATTCAAGAATTGCAGCACTTAGGCCAGTGAGGCCTTTGTTTCTGACATGGTATGAAGGTGGAACCCCAGGGCCTTTGCATCGCAATCCATCCCCACCCCCTTTTTACATTTTTTGTTCCACGAAAGTGTCTCTCGAAGTCAAGTGTTACCCAGTCCGGCAATGAATGTATAGTCCTCCCAGCTCAGTGCCACACAGCACCACGCCCACCTGAAGATTGGGAGTTTGCTCTCATGTTACAGAGCAGAAAACTGAGGCCTCAGCCTGAGCTTTGGCTTGGAGCCTATATAGGTCCCTAGCTGAGTCTTAGCCTCACCATAGCCTGACCCTGCCCTCAGGATGACCCCAGATGAAGTCCTGACTTCAGGATCAGCCTTGACCTCAATTCGGGCTCTCGGGTACCTCTCGAGGGCTGCTTACTTACCCCCCTGTGGGAAGTGGCCCTGCATGGCTGGGTGTGGGGGGAAGGGCCAGCAGTGGGCAGCCATGCAGTCCCAGCCATGCCTCCTGCAGGTGTGTCTGATTGGAGACTGTGTGGGTGGCCTCCTGGCCTTTGATGCCATCTGCTACAGTGCAGGGCCCTCTGGTGACAGCCCGGGCAGCAGCAGCCGGAAGGGGAGCATCAGCAGCACCCAGGTGTGGCCAGGTGGAGGGACTGGGGAAGGTCTGTTCCCGGAGGAGGGGGAGGTGGTGCGGGCACCCCTGATCCATGGTACAAATAACCTGCAAGAATAGGAAGAGACTTCTGTCACTGGTGGGGAAACTGAGGTCCACCGGGGGCTGGTTTGGGTTTGACTAGACAGCTAGACAGCTGCCCAGCATCCGAGCTGAATGGCTCATCCCTGTGGATATGGAAAGCAACCTGTGCTCAGAATACCCACATTGTTACACTGTGGGTTCTGCATGCATTTTGGAAGTGTAGTCCCCAACAACACAGAGAAAAGGGAGCTCATTTGTGGCTGGGGGAGGAGGCAGACCCATGCAACAGCAGTGTGTCCTGTCCTGACTGGCCCCCAAGGACACCCCAGTGGTGGTGGAGGAAGACTGCAGCCTGGCCAGCAGCAAGCGACTCAGCAAAAGCAACATTGACATCTCCAGTGGGATAGAGGATGAGGAGCCCAGGAGGCCGTTGCCACGGAAACAGAGCGACTCTTCTACCTATGACTGTGAGGCCATCACCCAGCATCATGCCTTCCTCTCAAGGTAACCTCCTCCTGGCCTCTGCCTTTGTCTATGAAGATGACCTGGGAAGGGAGGATCTGGTCTCAGAGTTACTTGGGAGGTTTGTGACCAGTCATGTGTCCCAGGTCCTTCCATCAATAAGGATCAGAATTCTGGGAATGTGGCTATTTGCCATCTTCCTCCAAAACTCAGGAACTTGTTGCCTGTCTCTGCTGTGATCCAGCTTTCAGCGGGACTGGGGACAGTTTATTTCACCTTTCTGAGTCTCTGCTTCATCTTCTGTGAAAGGATGATGTTGCCTAGCCTACTTCCTGGAAGGTGGAGAATCCAGGGAATGCAGAGGGTGAACACTGTGAGCTGCCCCCGGTGTGCATCCCGTTATTCCTCAGACGAGGCAGTCACACCACCATCACCAAAGAGCGGGGCTCAGCATTCAGGTTCCTTGTCCCCATTTCAGTGCATTGAACACCACACTTTTGTTTGTGGACTCTCTGGGAATTGTCCTCTGATGCTCTAGGAGAGGTGGTTAATCAACACGGGTTACTGGAATTATCACATTAATCTTCATGTTAGTGTAGGACACAAGTGAGTGTCGAACATAGATCCAGTTGGCAGGAGAATCTTTTTTTCTTCCCCTTCTCTTCAATTCTGTCTTCCCTTCACTCTCCTTCTTTACCCAATGGTAGGGATCACAAGATCATTATAACACTTAGAAAATGTATCATCTCACCACTCAGAAGAATCACTGTTAACATTTTATTTCTTCTTTGTATTGTTTTAGAAACATATAATGCATATAGTTTTACTTAAAAAAAACCCCAAACTTCTTATCTTGCAATCTTTTCCCTATAAAAATTATTTGGTTAATATTCTTAATGGCAGTATGTTTTATTTAGTGAATGGACAATCTCCATTCATTAAATTCCCAGTAATTATATATTTTGTTTTTTTTCTAATAAAATATCACTATAGTGGATATTCCTGTGTATGGACATTAATGTATATGTTAGACTTACCAGTCTTAACCTTGTCTACAGTTTCACATTCTGTGGCTTCAGTTGGTTCTTTATCAACCAACTAAATATTACAAAGAAAACTCCAGAAAGAAGTAAGTCATGAGCTTTGAACTGTGCACCCTTCTGAGTAGCATGATGAAGTCTCCCACTGTTTCACTCCTCTCCTGCCGTGGATGTGAATCACTCTGCCCAGCGTATTCACCCTGTATGTGCTACCTACCTGTTAGTCACTTTGCAGCCATCAAGGTTATCAGATTGACTTTTGTAACATTGCATGTCCTCAAGTCATTCTTATGTTACTTAATGATGGCTGCAAGCCACAAGGATAGTGGTGCTGGCAATTTGGATATCCCAAAGAGAAGCCATAAAGTACTTCGTTTAAGTGAATTAATGAAGCACAGTAAGATATTTCGAATAAGAGACTACTTCACATAACTGTTTAATAGCATATTGTTCTAATTTTATTATTAGTTATTCTCTTACTGTGTCTAATTTATAAATTAGACTTTGTCACAGCAAAAGAAACACTGTACAGAATTCAGTGCTCTCTGTGGTTTCAGGCATCCATGAGGTCTTGAAACACATTTCCTTAAAGGGAGCTACTGTGCTTCCTGCAGATGAATTCTCACAGGTGGAAATTCTAGGCTCTGTGTGTTTAAATTTTTGACTATTTAAAGCTTCTCAACAGTTTATCTGTAGAAAAGCAGTTCCGTGCAAGTGAGGGTTGCAGGGTGAAAATCGCAAAGTTTCTGGTTAACCCTTGAAAAACCCTTTAGGGAAGCCCCACATTTGGAAATTGACAAGAAATCAGAGACTTTTCTTTTCTTTTTTTAATCGGTACCAGGGATCGAACTCATGACTGCCTGCTTGCAAGGCAGGTGCTTATGCCACTGAGCTAAATCCCCAGCCCCAAGAAATCAGAGGCTTTTCAAAGCTGCCTCAACACAGCCAGCCTTTCCCTCGGATGCAAGGACAGATGGCTGTTCCTGTGGCACTGAAGTAGTTGGTGTGTGTCTAAGGACTGCACCGTACGTGCATCACACACGGTTAAGCACAAGTGTGGTGGTCTGCTCTGTGAGATGCTCCCCCTGTGGGAGGCAGAGGGGAGCACGAGGACTGGAGGGCCACCTTGGCCCTCTTGTGTACCCCTCAGGGTGGGACCCTTGCCCACACTGCTTTCAGCATTGCTTCTAAACTATTTCTCTTTCGACTTGGTACTTTGAATTTATATTCAGGCCACTGATTGGTAGACTCCACAATTCATTTGTTGCCTTTTGACCTCTAAGTTGTACCTAATGCTCACAGGGAGGTCCCCAGGTTCTTTTTTCTTTGCCTGACTCTTAGCTCCCAGCTCCAGGACTGTTTCTGGGGCACCAGATATGTGGAATGGAAGTGGTTGGAATTCTGTACATCCCGTGTTTTTCTCCTTTAGCTCTGTTTCATCCGTGGGCTGGAGCAGGGGGGAAGATCAGGCTGTTTGCATCTGTGTCTGCGGGTTGCGTGGATCATGGGTTGTGACAAAAACCCTAAACCTGGCAGCCCTGGCAATAGGCGCCTGGCCTGTGGACTGACCAGGCTGGGCTTCTCCAGCAGACACTGCGGGGATTCTCAGGGTGGCTGCCTGTGTGCAGGACACTCAGGTGCTCCCAGGTGCTCAGCCTGTTTCTGTAAACATACAGCCCTAGTGGGTCACAGCCATGTGGGTTAAGTGGCTACTTTTACACTCTGATGGCAGCATTAAGTTGATGTGCTGGAGACTGAATGGCCCCTAAAGTCTGAAATGTTTACTATCTGGTTCTTTGCAGAAAAAGTTTGCTGACCCCTGCTCTAGCAGAGGTTGGCCTGGCCCTGGTGGGCAGGCTCATTGCTGCTGTGTTGGTGCTGGGCAGGTGGACTGTACACCTGAGTCCTGCCCGAGAGGGAGGGCTGGGCACTGGGCTCTCAGAGCGAGGGCCCCCACTCCTGCTGCTCCTCAGCCTGCCTCCCCTTGTTTCTGCTTCCCTAGCATCCACTCCAGTGTGCTCAAGGACGAGGTCGAGCTCTCTGCGGCTGGGAGGCCCCAGCTCCCTGAGGTCAGCCTGGGCCGCTTTGACTTTGATGTGTCCGACTTCTTCCTCTTCGGCTCACCCCTGGGCCTGGTCCTAGCCATGAGGAGGACAGTGCTGCCTGGGCTGGACGGTGTGTATAGCTGGATCTCAAAGTTGGAGGGAAGGAGTGTGGGGCTAAGTAGGGAAGAAACACAGAGTTGGGGTTAGGGGAGAAGGAGGAGAGGCAGGGTGGGGAGAGCAGTGAAAGCTGGGGGCAGCTTCCCCGGATGGGCCAAAAGCTGAGGCAGCTTTGGATGGATTTCACTGTCCCTGCCCTTCACCCTGGCTTAGGGGCTCCACTGTGCCATAGTTCTCCTCTGTGGAAAGAGAAGCCATAAATGGTCAGTGCACTGCTCCCCGTTGCTCTGCAGACCTCTGCAGCCTGGTGGGTCTCCCTGTCTGTCCCCATAGTGAAGCTCATCACAGTGCTTTGCCCACGTAGCCTCGGAAACCTTTTCCTGTTCCTCCAAAATATATGTGTGAGAGGATTTGGCTGCCAAGGGCTTTAGCAGTGGCAGAGGAGAGGAGTGCAGACTGCAGCCCAGAGGGCATCTTGCTTGTCAGCAAATCGGTGCTTTCCTCGGAGCTTACTGATGGGCTCCAGGCTGAGAGGCGGGGACCATGGTTGCCATGAGGCCAGGAAGCAGAACTCACAGCCACCTTGTGTTGTTGAGGATTTCTGGGGTCACCCGTGGCTGCCTGATCTGACCCCATCCAGGACAGGAGACCCGCTGGGGAGGCGGAGCTCAGTGGGGACATCTGCTGGCCAGTGAGAGAAGTGCCCTGCCAGCTCCCACAAACTGTGACTCAGTCTAATTCCTGGCTTAGGAATTTGAGTGTGGTCTTCGAACCTGGAGGCCTGAGCAGTTGTCCTGATTTAAGGAACTTATTATATTGGTTTTATAGGTTAGATAACAGCTGAAGTTGGAGGAGCTGAAAGGAGTCTGAGCAATAGAAGCCATGGAGGAAAGGTCTCCTAGGCAGACAGGACTCCCTGAACAAAGGCACAGGGAAAAGAAGGCAGCGGGAGCGAGCGCTATGGGTGTGCATTCTGCAGCTGCAGGGCTTTGCTGGGAGTCCGTAGTGGCCTTCAGAGGTGGTGAAGATCGGCTAGGCTTCGAATGGCAGCTGAGTGTAACAGCTTTGCTCCAGTGGGTAGCAGGGAGCTGTGGCAGGTTCTTGGGTGGAAGAGAAGGCTGCTCAGAGCTGCACTCCAGGGAGCCTTCTGGGGCCAAGTGGGCAAGTACCATAGAGGGGCTTCTCCGCATGTCTTCCCCCCTCACCCCAGGTTTCCAGATGCGTCCTGCCTGCAGCCAGGTCTACAGCTTCTTCCACTGTGCAGATCCCTCCGCTTCGCGACTGGAGCCTCTGCTGGAGCCCAGGTTCCACCTGGTGCCTCCCGTCAGCGTGCCCCGCTACCAGAGGTTCCCCCTGGGTGATGGACAGTCTCTCCTCTTGGGTAGGTCCTCGGGACTAGAGGCTGGGCCCCAGCCAGTTGGCACTGAAAGACTCCTCTCTGAGACAGCCTCCTGAGCTGTCAGCTGATGAGGTGACTCATCAGGGAAGGGTCTGTGTACTGTGGAGTTAAAAACAGGGAGCTGCTGACCCCGCTGTCTTCAGAGTGGCCACTGTGCCAAGCACTCACTCTGTACAAGGCATCTTGGGACCAGAGAGTCAGGCTTTGTTCCCAGCAGGCTCCAGGCTGAGCTCCTGTGTGTGAGAGCCAATCTAATAGTCAAGTTGTCAGACTTGAAGGCAAGTCCAGGGATTCGTGTCCAGTACCTTTCCCGAGTCCCAGCATGGATTCTAGAAGGACACAGAAGGGACTGAGTCATCCAGGGTTTTGTGAGCAGTGGTCTTTGCCCAGGGCCTGGTGGGGAAAGTGTGTTTGTGCAAGTGGAAAAGAGCTGGAGGAGGAGGAAACAAAGGGGAGTTGGGGAAGGTGGGCTGGGGAAAGGGCAGAGGCTCCCAGGGGCTAAAGGGGATGAGGCTGAGGGCAGGCCTGGAATGACAGCCAGGGGCTTGGGAATGCAGCCTTGGCTGTGCACCATGGCTGAGAATGAGTAGCCAGGGCCTGCTCAGCTGTGGGCCAGAGACAGAGGGATGCTGTGCACCTCCCTCCCGAAAGCCCTGCTGTGCAAGGAGCTTCCCTAAGTAGGCAAAGCTCTGAGACTCCCTCCCCCATCCTCACGTGTTCCCTCTTTTGTCAGGGGACCCTGCACCCTCAGTGGCCACCCCAACTCCCAGGCTAGGGTTCATTTCCATTCACTTCCAGCTCAGCCACTTTGGGACTTGGGGGGAGGAGTTTCATAGGAGAGATGTGGTTACCTGCCATCCCCATGACCTCAGCTGTGCTTTGGGGCATCTCTCAGTCTCCCTCTGCAGCTTTATTGGAGTGAGGTGATGGCCGGAGTCCTCACACCTGCTTGCATCACTCGCAATGAGTGAGTGAAGAAGAGGTGAAATGGAAATGTGCTTTGAAGGGAGAAGCTTCAGTCCCTAGTGAGCTGTGCGGGCACACGTGCTTGTATGCGCATGTGTGCGTGCGTGTGTGTGTGCGTGTGTGTGTGTGTGTATGGTGCAGGTTACCAGCTGAGCTGGGGTTGGCTCCTCTGCCTGCTCAGTTTCCTGCCCAGCACAAGGCTAGCACTGAATGGCCAGCTCTGCTGGAGACCCACTACTTACCCTGATCTTGCACTTCCTCCTCTAGCTGATGCCCTGCACACCCACAGCCCCCTGTTCGTGGAGGGCACCTCCCAGGGCAACCCCCCGCTTCTGGATGCCCCCAGTTCCCTCCCTCAAGCCCCGAGGTTCCAGCCTGCCAGACGGAGGATGAGTGAGGGCAGCTCCCACAGTGACAGCTCAGAGTCCTCGGACAGCCTGGCACCTGTGGGTGCCTCCCGCAGTGAGTGAGGTCCTTCTGGGGCCCTGCCTGCATTTCAGGGACAGGGGCCCTTCCTTGGGTGGTTTTGGGTCTCTAGCCACACTGCTGCAGGCGGCCTCTGTGGGGAAGAGGGTGGTGTTCCTGCCTTTTGGGAACTGTTGGTCTTTGGCAGAGACTGGCTTCAGACTGAATCTTTCTGACTTCCCAAACTGGGCCACGACCTCAGAGAGAACCTTGACCTCTGACCCAGGGCAGACTCCAAATGCTGACCCTGGCTGATACGAGCTTAGCTCTTGCCTAGAGCCTTGGTCCCTAACCTGGGGCTGAGTTTTTGTCTCAGAACAGAAGCCTGACCCCTGACTTGCATAGGGCTCTGATCTCTAACCATGGCCCAAGCCATGACCTCTCTAGGCACTGACTGGGCTCTGACCTCAGACTCACTGCTGAGCAGTCTCCTGGGGTGATGCTGGAGGGGAAGAGGGGTGCACAGGTGAGGGGGCTGCCTGTGATGAGGCAGTCAGAAGGGAGCAGCCCATTGCCCCAGGCTCTGTTGCAGCAGAAAGCTCTGCCTCGACTTGGGTGCCAAGCAGCACAGTCACCACTGGGTCCACAGTCCTGTGCTGCCCCTTGGCTGCTCTGTCCTCACCTCCTTCTCGACCTGCAGTCACGGCCAGATGGTGGGGGACCAAGCGCATCGACTATGCTCTCTACTGCCCTGACGTCCTCACTGCCTTCCCCACTGTGGCCCTGCCCCATCTCTTCCATGCCAGCTACTGGGAGTCTACTGACGTGGTTGCCTTCATCTTGAGACAGGTACAGTTGCAGGCTCCTCCAGAGCAACCCAGGCTCCTGCTGAGATCACGCTGACCCCTGGTCTTTATTTATCTATTTTTACTGAGACAGGGTCTTCTATTTCTATGTAGTTCAAGGTGACCTTGAACTCACTACGTAGCTCAGGCTGGCCTTGAACCCACTAGGATCTTCCTGTCTCAGCCTCCTAAGTGCTGGGATTACAGATGTGTACCACCATGCCCAGAGCCCTGGTCTTTATTGAGGCAGTACTGAGAAGGCTTTGGGCACTTAAACAAGGGGGATGGTGACATGGTTAGAGTGGGTTTGTAAAGAACATTGACTTCTGAGTGGCTCGCAGAGTGGTACTTGCTGGAAAATTAAATTGAAACGTAGTAGGAGAATAGCAGTGTGTCAGTGCGCCGAGCAGAGCAGCTAGTTCCTGCCCCTCTCTGCGGCTCCATGTCTTTATCTTCAGAAGGGCAGGTGCAGCAGGAAGACAGTGACTGAAGGAGCCTGGGGGAATCGGGATGGGGAGCAGCGTGGGTGACTCATGGATGGCCAAGGTCTGGGCAGAATCTTAATCTGAGTTCACTGAGAAGCCACGGCGGGGCTGTGGGCAAGGGACAACCTATCATTTGATTTCTACTTTTCGAGGGAAACTCTGGGGCTGCTGCTTTGGGAGCAGGAGAGGAAACATGAGTTCCCTGGGGAGGGGAGTGCAGGAGGCCAGCTGAGAGCAGACAGCTGGGAGGAGAATACCGGGCAGAAGTGTGGAAGGTGGGGGTGGGGGGTGGGGGTGGGGGTGGGGGATGCTGGAGTCCTGGTGATGGCACCTTCTGAGGTCTGGGGTGGGGGGCCGAGAGGAGCCCAGCGGGTCCTGCTTTCCTTGGGGTAACTATGGGGTACCATTTCATTGCTAGGAGATGGGCCTAGTGCTTAGCGAAGAGGTCAGGGTGAGAGCCAAAGGGAATCATCTGTATGGAGTTGGCCCTGAAACCAGGTGACGGTACCTAGGGGGCACTGGAGAGAGAAGGTTGGGTATGTCCTGGAGTTCCCACTGACAGGAACCTTCAGGGACAGAAGAAGGCCTCCCCTGAGGTCAGAGGGGGACTCAGAGTGGCAGCAGCAGTGAACCTGGACAGGACAGGGTGAAAGTCCCAGGCCTGGGGCGGGCGTGAGCTAGTGGAACCGTGGGGCCGGAAGCCTCCAGAAGCGGCAGAGCGGGCAGGGGAGGAGGTGGAAAAGGAGCCTAGAGGCTGTGGAGTTTTGCCATAAGGGGGACTGGATGTGAGGAAGCTGGAGAGGCAGAAGGGTTCTGGGCGAGCGTTGTTCTTTAGAGCGGGCACTGTCCAGGCATAAGTGAGTGCTGAAGGGAGTGGTGGGGGAGCCAGTGCCAGAGGCAGGGCTGGGAGGGGTGTTGCTGCAGTGATGACGGGATCAGAGGAAAGGGCTGGGTTCTGGGTTCCTGGGTACAGGAAGGAGGGCAGAGAGTGGGTGCAGGCATGGAAAGCAGAGCTACCTGGGGATCAGTGCTGTGGCCAAGCTGTCAGGACAGGCTGGCTGGGAGGTGGCCAGTGGGCTCTGATGCCCCAGGGGGAAGTGGAGGCCTCGAGCACCTGCCCAGGCCCTGCTTGGCTTTGGCCAGGTGATGAGATACGAGAGTGTGAGCATCAAGGAGAGCGCCGGCCTGGACCCCGCGGCGCTGAGCCCCAGCAACCCCCGAGAGAAATGGCTTCGCAAGCGGACCCAGGTCAAACTGCGGGTAGGTGCATGCCTGAGGCCGAAAGCCTTGGGACTGTGACCTGGGGTGGTGAGGCTGCCCTAGCCCTGGGGCATCCACATAGTAGATAGGAACTGCAGTATGGTTTTGGAGGTCAGTGCCCACAGCTGAGATCCAGGCCCCTATCCACCATGACGGAGGGAAACAGATTAGAATGAGGGAGGATTGTCAGGGCAGCACGGCACTTCTCGGAAGCAGAGGCACTTCTGTAGGGTACCAGGGGCTGAACAGGAGTTTAGGATGCATATATTTATTACTCATGTGGCAAACTATCATCAGTGCCTGCCCATCTCAGTCCCTCTGCTACACAGGGTCAGGCTGGGCAGAGATAAAGCCGTTTCCATGCTGGGCAGCTCCAGCTCGGGGGAGGATTACATAGGGACCCCAGTGCAGTCCTCAGAGGTAGTGGGTGATCAATGCCTTATGAACCAATGACTTCTTTTGCATATATATTTATGAATATGTAATTTGCATATCATATAACTCACCCATTTTAAATATTTTAAATATTTTTTAGAACATGCTTGTCATCTCTAAAAAGAGACGCACTCTTCAGCAATCTTCCCATACCCACTGCCCCTCGTTTTCTCTAAGCAATCATTAATTTACTTTGCATCTCCGTAGATTTGCCTGTTCTGTGCATTTCATTCAAATGAAACCAGGCAATCTGTGATCATCGGTCTATTTTCTTTCACTCAGCATAATGATTTCAAGGCTCACCCGTGTTGCAGCAGGAATCGAACTGCATTTCTCTTTGTGGCTGAGTCACTGCACGGGTAGACTGTATCTCATTTTCCCATTCATCAGCTGACAGATTTGGGTTGTTTCTACCTTTTGGCCATCATGACTCACGGTGCTATAAATACCATGCATACATTTTTGCGTGGGCAGAGCCTGCGTTACTCCTGGTTCAGCCTTAGGAGTGGAATGGCTGGATCCATGGTAACTCTGCGTTTAGTCACTGGAGGGACGGTCAGGCTGTGTTCCATGGTTGCACCATTTTTCCTTCTGACCAGCAGTGTATGAGGGTTCTGATTTCTCCACATCTCAGCCACACCTGGGACTGTCTGTCCCTTTGATTCATCCTAGGGTGTGCTGGGGAATCTCATTATGGTTTTGATTTGCAGTTCCCTGATGAGTATGTTACAATCTCATGTGCATATTTTCATGGTCAGCCCTTCCTTTCTCAGGGCTTCTGTAAGAGAGCTGTGTCTCCCCCTTTGATGGGTGCTTCCAGGGCAGGGGTCATGGACGTTTCCTTCCAGGGACTGTGCAAGTGAGGCACCTACAGGTGTTTGTTGAGTTTCATTAAAAGGTCAGAGGAGTTGAGAGGAGGCTTTGAGTCTGATCTCGGCAGGTGGGCTGGAATGTGGGAGCAGGACTGTCAGGGATGGCATATCCAGCAGGCAGTGTGGGAAGAGGGCTCAGCATGAGTGAAGGCCTGGAGGCCCCTGCAGAGCCTGGTTAGAGAGGAGAAGCTGCTCAGGCCAGGCTCCAAATGCTGAATTCAGGCCTGGGACTTTGTGCAGAGCGCAGGAAGCCAGTCTGGCAAGGTGCTAATGGATCAGAGCCTTCTAAGGATGCCTGGGGGCAGGTTTTGAACACAGAACTCCATTACGAAACCCTAGGAGAGTCCAGGCAATAGGTAGTGTGGGTGTGGCAGAGACACCTGTGTGGTCAGTGCTATGAAGAAGGGTCAGCAGTTTGAGAGATGTGGGCATCAAAGGCCAGCCTGGGAATGATGTGCAGTCAGGGCTGACACAGCTCTCGGAGCTACAGAATGAACTGGAGGCAGAAGAGAAGATATGCTGAGATGGGTATAAATAACACGATGTACAGTTCTGGGCTGGGCAGCACTGGGGAGGACAAGGCCATTGTGGCAGTGGGCAGTGGGCAGCAGCACTGTGGCCAGGCTGAGGGGCATTGCTGTGCTATGCTCCCTTCCTGTGCTTTTGAAATTTTCCACTAAAAGAAAATGGCTACCAAGTGGCTTGGATATCAGTGGTGATGCAGAAGGAGAAATGAAAGGTGACTGGACAGTTTCCAGCTTAGGACTCTAGAAGACAATAGGATGCAAGGTCCATTTTCACTTCCGGGGCATGTGGAGAGGTGAAGTAGTAAACTCACCTCCATGAAAAGCTCAGGGTTCCTTGAAGACAATATTCGTAGCTCATGGTCTCTCTCTTTCTCTTATGGGAGTCCATCTCTGAATCCTTGGCAGAAGTCCTGAGAGCCATAATTCCACAGGTCCATCCCCCTCTAGCCATCCTGAGTGCCTCCCTGACATGGCCAGCTGAAGCTCTGCTTGCAAAGGCTGAGCCAGATTTCTTTCTGTCCTTGCAGAATGTCACTGCTAATCACCGGGCTAACGATGTGATTGCTGCCGAAGACGGCCCCCAGGTCCTAGTGGGACGCTTTATGTATGGGCCTCTTGACATGGTGGCTCTGACTGGAGAGAAGGTACTGAGGGCCAGGCACCCCCTCAGCTGGCTCACCTGTGTCAGGTGCACTGTGAGGTGTGAGGTTTTCAGAGAGTTGAGCTGCCTATCATGGGAGCAGAGAGCAGGGAGCCACCTGGCGTGGGCAGGTCAGGGGCACAGTTAGGGATGTGCTGGGGGACCTGGCTGCAGTGGAGGGAGGGAAGGGACCGGTAAAATCCAGTAATGCAGGCAGTAACCTGCATGCTGGGCCCTGGTGTCCTGAGAGAAAGTTCCCCAGCCCAGCCTCTCTGCCAAGCCTGTACCCCTCAGCCTGCACTGAATCCCCTCCTCGCTTCACCACCTGCAGGTGGACATCCTGGTGATGGCAGAGCCATCCTCAGGCCGCTGGGTACACTTGGACACCGAGATCACCAACAACAGCGGTCGGATCACATACAGTGTGCCGCGGCCCCGGCGCTTGGGGATTGGTGTCTACCCTGTGAAGATGCTGGTCAGGTAGGACCCAGGGGGACATTCTCATGTTGACTTCTCCCATTACCATGGTGGTTCTAACAGTGTCTGTCCAGAAGATGGGTCCTGGGCCAAGCTGTCTGCATGGAGAGAGAAACATGGAAGAAGCCACCAGCTGTGGTGTCAGGAGATGCTGCTCAGACTGTAACCCCACACTAACTCTGACTCCAACCACAGCTGACACAGGCCTTCTGTGCCTTTCAGGGGCGACCAGACCTGTGCAATGAGCTACCTCACTGTGCTGCCCAGGGGCATGGAATGTGTTGTATTCAGCATTGATGGGTCCTTTGCGGCCAGTGTGTCCATCATGGGCAGTGACCCCAAGGTCCGGCCAGGTGCGGTGGATGTGGTGCGGTGAGTGCCAGCTCCCATGGGAGAAGCTGCCTCCTCTGAGGCAGGAGCCAGAAGCCCCTGGAGAAGGGCACCGCTTTGCCTGGTTTTCTCTAAGAATTCTCTAACCAGGTGTGGGGGTGCACACCTATCTTAGTACTTGGGAGGCTGGGGCAGGAGGATCACGGTGAGTTCGAGGCTAGCCTGGGCTACATTTCAAGACCCTGTCTCAAACAAACCAAAACCAAACCAAACCAAACCAAACCAAACCAAACCAAAACAAAACACTGAGGGTGACTTCAGGCCAGGCTCAGGGCTGGGCACTGATGCAGAAATTGCTGCTGTTTGAAGAAACCTGAGTTCAATGGGGCAGGTTGCTGGGCAATGGGTGGCCTGCAGGGCTAAAGCAAAGCCTCCAATACCATCTCGACAGGCACTGGCAGGACCTGGGATACATGATCCTTTACATCACCGGGCGGCCGGACATGCAGAAGCAGCGGGTGGTGTCGTGGCTGTCTCAGCACAACTTCCCACAGGGCATGATCTTCTTCTCTGATGGGCTGGTGCACGACCCACTGCGGCAGAAGGCCATCTTCCTCCGCAACCTCATGCAGGAGGTCAGTGAAGGCCGGGGGTGGGGTTTCAGCCACGCCCATAGGGCGGGAGCTTAGCACCGGACTCTCATTGGCCAGGGGGAGGGGCTCAGACCACGCCCTCCAACGCCCCTCCCCTCTTCCCACAGCCGGGTGGGGCCCTGCGTCCAGTCTCCAGGTACAGTACTTTGTTGGTGCAAAGAGGACTCGCATTTTGCAAAGCCTGCACATGGGGGTCTCTTATGCTTTTAGCAGCCTTTTAAAGTAGGTGTTATCTTTATTGACAGATACTCATCCTTCTTCCATTTCCTGATTCTAAAGCCTAAAACTCTTGTCTCTACAGCTGGTTTATTCATTCAGTAGACATCTAAGCGTCTACTGTGTTCCTTACCCAGTGCCTGACATTGGACCCTCACAGAGACCCCTCTCCTGAGCTGTGCTTCTCACAGCTGGGGGACTTCACGCACCTCAGAATTATCAGAAATGCAGATTCTCTGGTTCAGACCTACTGACTCAGAAACTCTTGAGTCTGAGGCTCAGCAGTGTTTTCACAATCCTGTAGGGGATTCTGATGCACAGAAAAAGAATTAAGAAGCACAGATCTAGAGTAACAGTTGACAAATTAAAATTAGATCAATCAGATTTCAGTGCCCATAAATAAAGTTTTATTGGAATGCAGCCAAGCGCATTTGTTTATGTATTGTCTGTGGCTGCTTTTGGGTTGCAATGGAGGAGCTGAATGGCTGTGATGGCGCACAAAAGCTCCAGTATTGATTCTCTAGCCTTGCACAGAAAAAGTCTGCCAGTCCTGATCTAGAGGAAGAAGGCCGTGTAAATTGACAATTACTGGTATGTGATTGAAAAGAGCCGCTGCCGGCAAACAGAGAGAGGGGACCACTGTTTGCTTGGGAGGCTGGGGGAGGCTTCTGGTAGGCCATCACTTTGGAGCTTAATCTTGAAGCATGAATGTGAGTTGTCAGGGCTGAGAGGAACACAGAGCTTAAAACTGAAGTGGATTAAGTTTCGCTGGGGAGCAACATTGCAGTGAGAAATGTGTGCCCTCGCACTCCCGCGCTCATTCAGAGCGGCTGAGGCAAGAGCAAGTTTTGGAAGGCCAAACGGAGGAGTGTTCCACGGTGTCCTTGAAGCAGTTGTCTTTGGTGATGATTCACCTCAAGGGTGCCATGGGTCCGAGGGTGGGCAGACAGTTACTGAGCAGGTGGCCTGGAAGGAACAGCTTTTGTATGAGACTGCAGCCGCCTTTTGGGGAAGGCTGTGGTTCTGCAGAGTCTTTTACAATAGCTGCTGTTAGGCAGTCACGAGTGAAAACTTTTCCTTCCTAATCGCCCAGCTTCTTTTTTGTTAGGATTGGCACAAGCAACTTCATTTTGATTTTGACAACTTTTACCATGATCAAAGTCACAAAAGCAAAAAAGACCAGGGGATATTTTCAGAGCTGTGGTTATCCAAGAGAGAGGCATGTGCAGGCGGTCAGACCCAGGCCTCTAAATCCTTGGAAGCCAGTCCAATATTGTGGACTTTTTTCTGAGGGCTACCGGGAGCCGTGGAAGAGTTTGAAGTAGGGGAATGGCAGTGTCTAATTTGGGTTGTACAAATAATTCTCTGCAGTTATACAGAGAGCTGATTGATAGGAGAAGGGAGAGACAGGAAGGCCAGTTAAGAGGCTTTTGGCAAGCAAGAGATAAAAAAACCAAATCCAGGTGCTGACCATGGAATGGACAGAAAGGTGATTGCAGGCACAAAGAAAAGGAGGGGTGATCACCAGGATTTGGTAACAGTTGGATGTAGGGTATGAGGGACTCTCAGATATTCTGGTGATGACCACGAGGGATCCAGGTGCTACTTTCTGACCATTGCTCAGTGGAGGAAGAGTTCTATATCTCTAGATTTGGGGTGACAGTGGCACAGATTAGGCACTCAGTGAATGTTTGTAGAATGGATAAATGATGGAGGGCATGGGTGGAAGGCCAGGTCAGAGGGAGAGGAGTTTCTCTGTGGGCGTGTGGAGGCTGATTGGCCATGCGCCATGAGCCATGTCAGCCCTAGCATGTGGCTTAGGGAACAGGTCCGTGGGTTGCAGGTAGAGACTGGAGCCATTGTGTGAGGCAGGTCCGTGGAACTGTGGGTGGGAGGCATCCCTGGGGAAGGGTAGGACCAAGAGCAGAACAGGAGCTGCTCAGGGAACCAACAGGAAAGTCCAAGGAGAGGGTGCCAGGACAGCGAGGCTCCAGCTGTCAGGGGAGGCAGAATTTCTAGCAGGCAGCACTGTGGGATGGTGAGAACCGTCCTGCATGACGGCTGGCCCCTGGGTGACCTCAGTGAGGAAGGGACACCTCTGAGGACCAAGAGGGCAGATGTGGTGGGATGAGGAGTGGGGAAGGAGGGTCTCAGCTTGGAGGGGTCATGGGAGGTGGAAGGCCTTCCCATGGACACTAGGTTACTCCAGCAATGGTGGAGTTAGCAGGAAGGAAAGCTGCGACACAGGACTGAAGTGTCCAGTGAACTTGGGAACAAGGAAGGTGACTTGTGGGGAAGCACATACAGTGGGGGGTGACTAGGTGATGAGCTTCCCTGAGGGAGAGGTAGTTTGGTTCCCTGGGGACAGAAAGGAGGGTGGAGTGATGATCTGAAAGTTCTAGTGGAGTGCAGAGGACATTGAGCCATTTTCTCAACTGGATCAGGTCTTCTGGGGAGGACACTGGACCAGCCAGTCAGGCAGCAGGCAAGTGACCAGCCTAGCCCTGACCTCCTGGCCTTCTGATGCATAAACTCAGTTTCCTGATCCGCAAATGGACATTTATCCTCTTTGTTATGTATTATGTGTAGTCTACCCAAGGCAGGGTCAGTGAATGGTCTGGTTGTTACTGAGCAGAGTCCCCTGTATTGGGGTTGAGGTCTGGTGAGGGGCAGCCACTCTGGGGATGGGTTCCGGCCCGGGTGGTATGGTTGTGTGGAGTGTGAGTGCAGTAAAGTTCCCCACACATCGGCCCCTGAGTTGGTGCTGAGCCTCCCCTTGTTCATGAGCTGCCTGCATTTCAGTGCTTCATCAAAATCAGCGCTGCCTACGGCTCCACCAAGGACATCTCCGTCTACAGCGTGCTGGGCCTGCCGGCCTCCCAGATCTTCATCGTGGGCCGGCCCACCAAGAAGTACCAAACCCAGTGCCAGGTGGGTGGAGGCCAGGCTGGGGCTGAGGGCTGGTGGCTGGGGAAAGGGCTGTAGAATAGGCAGCTCATTTATTGGTTCATTCATTGATTTATTTGTTCATTCACTAAACGCTTCTGGGCCCCTGCCTTGGATCAGGCTCTGTGTTAGATCCCAGGAGAGTCTCAGTGGAACGCAATCCAGCCTAGTGGGGGAGATGGGAATGTATGCAGACTGTGCCAGTGTGGTGTGGCAGACAGAATTCCGGAGAGAACCAGCTAACCGGCCTCCAGGACAAGGCTGGCTTCCCAAGTTTTGAAGGAGTCGTTCAGGAAGGAACTGAGGCTGGGAACAGCGTTTATTTGTGGCAAAGGCGCCAGCAAAAGTCAGGGTCAGGAAGCAGCAGAGAAGCATGCATATTCCGGAAACTGCCAGTGACTCAGCTTGGTGCAGGCAGGCAGCGGACAGAGGGCGCTGGGGCCTTCCCAAGCTCAGTCCCTGGAGTACGGGGTGGGGAGGCAAGAGCGCTTATGTGATCAGGAAAAATCCCTCAGGCTGCACGGGCCCGGGCCCCGGGGAAAGCGGGCGCCCCGGTCAGTGGTTACACTGCGGGGCAAGCTCTCATCTCTCGCTGGCTTAACACCCTCTCCTCCGCAGTTCCTGAGCGAAGGCTACGCCGCACACCTGGCTGCGCTGCAGGCCAGCCACCGCTCGCGCCCCAAGAAGAACAACTCGCGCATGATCCTGCGCAAGGGCAGCTTCGGGCTGCATGCGCAGCCCGAGTTCCTGCGCAAGCGCAACCACCTACGCCGGACCCTGTCTGTGCAGCAGCCAGACCCGCCGGCCATCACCCCCAAGCCGGAGCGAGCCCAGAGCCAGCCCGAGTCCGACAAGGACCACGAGCGGCCGCTGCCCGCGCTCAGCTGGGTGCGCGGGCCCCCCAAATTCGAGTCGGTGCCCTGAGGGGCGAGCGGTGTTCAGAGCAGAGGGGATCAGGCTGCCTGCAGGGATGGAGGGCCGCCTCTCCCCGCACAGGCGTTTTCCTGCTTTTTCCCTCCCGTGTCTGTCCAGCCGTGTCCGACCAGAGCGGGAAGGGACCCTCTGGCCGTGGGAGAGCTCCCGGGCTGCGACGGGGTGAAATCCGGGGGCCTCAGAGCTGCTGCTGCCTCCCCACGCAGGGACGGTGAGCGCGCGTCAGGGCGGACGTTCGTGGCGTCCTGGGGACAGGCCTGCGGAGACTCCTGTCCCGGCAGTCAGCGTCCTTCTGAGTCCCTGGACTCCCGCGGTCAGGCCAGGCGCACTGTGTGTGGAGAGGGCCTCCCCTTGGGGACCGGCAGCCGCGGCAGGCGCTGCCTTGTGGAGGAGCCAGTGGCGTTTGTGCCCGCCCTCCTAGTGACGTCCCCAGTCACCACGTGGAGGCTGACTTGTGGCAAAGCGGTCACTTTCTGGAGTGAGAGGACGCCCCCTAGGTTCACCCTGTGTACCGGTGTCTGCCTACTGCCCGGGGGCTGGATGAGTGCTGAGGTTTTGTCCGCCTGCAGCTGTCCTTTGCCCCTCACTGTTGTCCTCACCATCTTCACCATTTTCCGGTGGCCCTTGGGAACAGGTGTCCCTCTTCCAGGATCCCTGCTTTGTGCTCTCACCCCTGAGGCTGCAGCTTTGGATTCTGGCCCTGCTGGGCTGGCTGTGTGCCTCGGGTCTGTTGCTTACTCTCTCTGGACATGGCCTTCCTTCCGTGAATTGGAAGGGGCCCAACCCTCCAGCTGAGATAGGTGCACTTTTTGGCTGGTAGGCTGCCCTGACCTTCTGAGCCTGAGATTTGCAGGGTGCAGGTTAATGTGCTTTTTTCGCACAGCCTCACTGAGGGGTTCTGCTCTGGAGGAAGCTCTTCTCTACAGAGAGCCGCAGCAGGGCTGCTTTGCACTGACGCCCGAATGAGGTGTTCCAGGGATAGACACCCCCCGGAGGGTACTGATCTGGCCCACCCACCCCTGGCTCTCTCTGACCTATTCCCTTGTTGCTTTCTGAAAAGCACGGAGTTGAGTTACCAGGGTCTGGGGGCGTCATGGGATTTTGGTCCAAACTGTAATATTTCTTCCCTTCCAGCGACCACTTAGCTTGGTTTGAGCTTCAGGGCTCCCCCAACGCTGGTGTCCCACGGAAGGAGGTAGGGCTTGGCTTTCCTGGGGCCACTTAAAGCCTGCCCTGGTCCTCCTGCTACTGAGCCCCTGGCCCAGGCAAGGGTGTCCCACAGCTGCCTGTGCTCCCTGGCGCAGTCTCATACCTCTGGTGGGGCTGCCCATAGTTGTCAGCCAGGCTGCCCCAGGGCCTGGACATCTGTACATGCAGCAGGCACCTGTGTCACTCAGTATTGCTTCTGCTCAATGTCTACCTCTTGCAGCTCCCCTGCAGCCATGGCGGCTGCTCCTGGGGGTAGTTGGCACCGTTGTTGTGAATCACCTTGGCAATCTGGGAACCCTGCTGGGGCTGGAGGGGTCTGGGCTCTAAGCCCCCACCCCTACACTTTCTCCAGCCTGCCAGCTACTGCCACCTTTGCCCGACCCATCTGCCAGCTCTTGTAATCCACTTGCAGCACTGTACCCTGTGTCCCAGTCCTGTGAGGATGGCAGGGAGCTGGGGGTTAGCCTTAGCCTTTTTCTGGTCCTGGCTCTGGCTCTTAGCTCTCTCTTTCTCTCAGCACCAGCTTATATGGCATAGCATTTTATTCCTAACTCTTTCTGCTCCTTCCTCCAAATTATCTTGATTTACACTTGGGCAGAGTTATTTTTTGACATCCCATCATTTCCTTTTGGCAGAAGTCCCTGATGTGTTACTTTCAAATGATGGAATAATTAGTGTGGGATCCTTTCCGTTGGTAGATCCTCTCCTCCCTTTTTGAGAACTGAAGGCCGGGGAGCGGGGTGGCTGGAAGTGAGGGCACAGGCTTGTGACCTGGGGGCCCCAGGGACTTGAGAACAAGTGACCAGGGCTGTGTTTCTGGAGATTAGAACTGAGACACAGGACCCAGCAGGAGGGCTACCACCGCTTCCTTGCTGGAACCCTGTATGGGGACTTTGAGGAGTCTCACCCAAGCTGCTCGCAGTGTACAGGGACAGATTGTGAACACAACTTCTGGAGCTGTGGTTGGTGTGTGTGTGAATGCGTGTACTTTGCAGTTGTGTTTTGTGATGAGACTGCGTATGTCTCAGTATTGCTTTTTCAGCAGCTGTGTCCCCAATATGCACTAGTGGTGTGTTCAGTTTTGTCCGTTAAGTCAGAGCCAAAAAGAACCGAGTCCTGTCTTTTGGAGCGGGTGCTGCTGCCTCTCCTCCAGTAGTTCTGTGACCCCCTAACCCAGCTGTCCTTAGACTCTGTCTAGTGCCCGCTGTCCCGTAGCTGGAAACAGATCTCCCCTGACCAAAGCTCCCGTTTTTCATGTGGCATGTTTGTTTTTCCTTCCGGTGGCTCTGCTGGCTGGGGGCCTGCGGGCTGCCTACCTTCCTCTATTACTTGCCCTCTTGGGGTTCAGGGTGCATCTTTTGCCAGGGCCTGCTCTTCCAGCATCATGGTTTTCCCCCTAGAGATCTTGACTTCTTCCTGAAGCATGACAAACTATTTAAAAAAGAGAAAGTCTGCTTTGTGCATTTGGATGGGTAATCTTCCTGACTGGGTGCTGGCTACAGCAACCATGTCTGGACTTCTAGTGTCACCAAGCTTATGTGGGGTGGCTCTCTGAAGGAAGGGGGCAGGATCTTAGGGTTTTGAAACTGTACTTTTTTCACTATGAAGCCCAGATATGTGCCCCAGAAGTGTCCTGCAGACAAAACATCCACCAGTCTGTGAATGAAACTGAATTCCTCCTGAGGCAGGTGGCCTGGGCCAGAGGGGGCACCAGTTTTGACCTGGTTCAGGTGCAGCCCTGCCTAGGACGGGAGTCCTGACTGGGAAAGGGCCTTGCAGTTGACCCCGCCTTAACAACCAACTTTCCAGCTGAATCCCAGGAGATGTGGGTGCCAGCTGCTCTGGAAACCTGTTTTCTTTAGCTCAGTCAAAACCCCCCATGCATCTTTTTCGGTTGGGGGAATTTTCAACATTTGAATCAGGATTGATTCCAAGCAATGAGGCCTGGCTGGATCCTGCTCTTTTTCTTGAGAAACTAACGGGACGTGTGGCAGGATAATTAAGAGTTCGACTTCACTGACTTTGGGACACCCAGAGGCAGGTGACACCAAGGAGGGCCAGGCCAGAGAAGGGTGGCTCCGCATGAGGACCCTGCTGTCAGATCCCATTGTCCCTTTCTGTTGGTTTACTCGATGGTGGCAGCCAGTCTGACCTGGTCTGTGGGCTGGCTGATCCTAAGTGTGTACCTTCAGTGTTATCCGTGATGGGTGGTTGTGTGCTGGAAAAGGGTTATTAGGTTCCTGTGGCTGCCTTGTACAAATCCGTTAGAAAAGGATGTATAAAACCCCAGATTTATAACACGACAAAAACAGCATTATGGAGTTAAAAGATTTTTACAATTGGTCTTGATTTTGATGTGAGCTGGTTTTTAACTCAAACATTGTCACTTAAATAAAAACCTTATTTGCCTTTAAAATGTGCTTTGCTTTGGACTAAATTGAAAAAGCTTTCTCTTTACTTGCGCCCTAAGGGTGGAGTAGGACAGGCATGCCAGAAGCTGAGGGGAGAGGGACAAAGCCAGGCTAGACTCGTGGCCCAGGGCAGTGTCAGGTGGGGGGCTGGGGGCGGAACAAGTGTCCAGCGTGGGTTCTTTATTAAGGAAAAGCAGTATGATTTAGGAAACCAGTACACAGGCTTCTTTATGATACAGTGGTAAGGCAGACTTCTTAAATAACTTACACAGGGCAGAACTGCTCTGCACACCCACAGTCCCTGTGCCCAGTTTATAAATAGGTGGGCACCCATGACCCCGGGGTTGCAGAACCTGGAGATACGTCCTCTCCCTTCCTCCAGGGCCCTGGGGGTGAAGTAGGATGGAACTGGTCCCAAGAACCTCTACCTTTAGAATGTAGCTGGGAAGTCTGTAGAAGACTCCCAAAGTTCTGTCGTGAACAATGTGACCACAAGACTTGAGAATAGGATGAGGTCCTAAGCCCAAAAGTCCCCTGGGGAAAGAAGAGCAGTTCCCCAGCTTGCCAGGAGCTTCCTGGGTCACCTCCAGATGCAACTGAGACAGAAGAGAGGTGGGTCCGTTGGTAATCAGGTCCTTGTTAGTGCAGGTGAGGGGAGCTGATGCCTCTAGTACTTCCTCCAGGAAGCTCCAGGGCAGGCGATGTAGCTGTCTTGGGTATGAGGGCTTGGTGGCCAGACAGGACTTGTTTTCTGAAAAACAGAGCTCCTTTTGTGCCTATTGCTGAGCTCAGGGGAGGGGAGTTGAGTACCTCACAACTTTCTCAATTGGCTGGAGGTGCTTTAAGTCCTTGGGGTGCCCAGCATGGTGACTGAGCAACGGGCCAGTGAGGTTAGCAACTTTGGCTCTGAGCAGGTAGGCAGACTCTTAGACTTCCTGATACGGATTTTTTCAGAGACTCATTTCTTTAGCATGTTCATGAATAAAGGTGAGGGAGGAAGGGGAGGAGACTGAGAAACATGGCGGGGGGGGGGGTGAGGGAGGGGGAGGGAGAGTATTACCTGCAGGGCCTGTCCTCAGTCACGAATGAGGGTGACGCTCATGTCCGCACTAGAGATGGAGAAGGGGGAGGGACTGATGTTGCTGGGTGCTGCAGGCTGTGAGGAGACCCTCCCAGACTGAACCAACAAGACCAGAACCTGGAAATATGGCGGGAGCAGGGCTACTCTGCAGGGTCAGAGCTGGTGCCTATGAGCCTGCTGTGACTGTTACACAGATGCAGAAACGAACATGCTGAGTTCATGAGGATTCAGAACTGAGGTGCTGCCCTCACAATATATAGATCAGAACAGATATGCCAGGAACAACATGGCAGCCATGTAACCCTTCTAATTCTAATGCAGGTGGGCCATACATAGAGAAGCCATGCAGAGTATTGGAGGAAGGGCAGGCCTGTGGGACTCAGGTGTCCACCCACACATGAGGTTCCAGATGAATGAAAAAGGCAGAGACCCAAGACCTGGAGGACCACATACATCCAGGGTGCGTCCTTTACCATCATCCCAAATGAAGTCTTTCACCCCTTCTCATGTTTGCAGTGAGGAGCCCAAGGCCCAGAGAGGGGCAGGGACTAGTGAGGGTTGCACAGCAGTCAGAGCCAAGCAGCAGCCAGCCTACACCGGTGCTGTGGCTGTATGGGCCACTTCACTCTGAAGCATGAGACACCAACTCACTTGTCTTCAGCTACGATGGCCTCGTGCAGCTTTTGGGACAGCTTCTGAAGACGCTGGATTCCTGCCCCCACAGGCTCGAGGTCACTGTCGGATTCACTGAATACAAGAAAGCCAGCAGAGGCTAGCTGGGGACCTGCGATAGGATCCCCTCCCAAGCCAACCCTGGGACTTGGTCTGTGGGTCTAGATGGCCCTAGTGGGCTGGGCTGCCTCACCACCCAGTCCTGCTCAGTGACACGACCTCATGTCCCATGAGGCCAAGGGGAGGGGCAGGTAATTTGGCAGACAAGTGTCTGCTGTTCTTCACCTGCGAACTGAGTCCCTGTCAGCCTGATGTCCTCACCAGCAGGCTGGGCTGAGTGGTACCAGGCAGATCTAAGCTTATGTCTTTCTTTTACAGGAGGGAAAACTGAGATCCTGAAGGATTTTCTCAGATCCTTCACTAGGTCTGGGGGTAGAGCTGGGCTGGGACACAGATGTGACTCAGCTCAGGGTGCCTCTGGCTCCAGAACTATAGAAGAGGTACTCGGAAGCCCTGGGGTCCAGATAGCATTTGAGGGATCAGGGAAGGGAGCTCTTGCATGGGCTCCGAAGCACTGGTTCTGGGGAGACAGCCATACTACTTGCCTGGGAGAGCAGAGAGGCTCTGTCAAGGAGTAGGGGTTCCGGAAGGCAGCATCCCGCTTTGGCCGCCTTCGGGGGTGAGCATGCAGGCCCACGGGGGCAGAGAACCGGTGGTAGTCCCTCTTCCTAGGATCTAGGGTGGCTCCACGCAGCCGGGTGCTCTTCGGAATTAGGGTGGGAGATGGGGAGCCATTGCCCTTCTGCGCCCCTCTCTTTCTCCTTCTGGCTTTCACCTGAGTTTCCACCAGCCATTTGGTGCCACTCGAGCAGGACTCCTGGATTCTCTGTCATAGACAGGCACAGCATAGCACAGACAGAACCCTCTGGCCTCCAGCTTCCCATGCCATAGTGCCTACTCTTGGTCTTAAGGGTGCAATGATTCCTTGTTTCTGTTCCCATGGCCCATCATTGCCGCCCAAATCTGTCTTTAGAGACACCACTCAAGTCAAAGTCCCCAGTCCAAACGGAGCCTGCATTCTCAGGGTCTCCCTGAGGGCAAGATCTATGGACACCAAGGACACCCTCCATAGCTGGCTGGTATTGTCATTACCTGGGACACGACACCCAAGGCGTTCTTGGCTGAGCAGGCTGCAGCCTGGAGGCCCTGCTGTTCTGGCTCTGGGGTTTCCAGGAGTTTCCAGGAGGGGCCCGCCCGGAGGTTGAGGCTGACTGCTCTCAAGGGCAGTCTCCGCTGGAACTGTCTACACAGGGAGCCTAGGGTCCCAGTGGACGACTCCAGGTGGCTGGCTGCGGACCGTTCCACCTTCTCTTCCAGCTGCTCCTCCTTCAGGAGAGATCGGCGGTGCACCGAGGGTCGCATGCCATGCCACCGAGACGCCATTTGTCTGGCCCAGTCTCCTCGGCCCCTCTGACTCTGGAGAGGTCAAAGGCAGGTCATCAAGGCACCCTTCACTTCCATTCGGGGCTCCACAGGAGCCCTGGGGCCAGGAGAAGATAAGGGATGGGGGCCTGTGCGATTGGGCGCTTGGAGACCTGCGGGCACCTGGAGGAGGCTGCTTCCTGGAGGAAGGGTCAAATTCCTGTTCCCCTATGCCGCAGGTTTGGAAAAACAGCGGTCTTTGCATCCCAGCCCTTTTCCAGAGTCCCGGGGTGCGGTAGGGGAGGGAGGCAGGGTTTCACCCAGTCTCAGCGCCAGATTCAGGCCACAGTCAGCAGCGTATTCACACATTCGCCCTGGCCAAACGCGCTCCAGCCCCACCACACTGTCAGACACCAGGCTTCACCCGACGCTTGGCTGTCCTGGCTGGGACCCCCAACCCATGCTTCCCCTTGACGCCCCCTAACAGAAGCCCCTCGACGTCCAGGCCGCACTTACCCGGCAACGCCCAGCGCAAAGACAGGACAAGGCGACTCCTTGCAGACCCCAGTAGATTTGAAACTCCGCGCTGCTCCGCCCCGGTCCTGTACTCACAGCTGATTGGCTCCTTCCTCGCGGCCTCCGCTGTGCCGGGCATCTGATTGGCCTTTTTTTCCTCGCGGCTGTAAATTCGTCTCGAGGATTGGCTTAGATGCCCGCATTCATCCCTCGCGACCCCGGCTGGGTTGGGTGTTGGGGATGCAGCCCGCGGCGACTCCTGGATGCTGGGGTTTCTGGTCGCCGAGCCCAGCCTCCCAGGAGCTTGCGCGGGAGTGTGGCTGGTCAGCAAAAGCGCCGCGGAGGCGGGGTCCTGAGCGCAGAGAAGGCACAGGAGCCAGCGGCCTCGGGGCTCCCGGGCCTTCGCAGCCCTGGCCACCTACGGAGCCCACCGTCCTTCCCGGAGGATAGGCTTTTCTTTGTCTCCGGGAGGTTTTGTCCCGAAAGAGCCCTGGCGGGGTGGGGTGGTGGGGTGGGGTGGGGAGGTACGGAGCCCTTGTTTCCCACGAAGGTTTTACCACAGTTTCCCCTCATAACCCCTTTTCTGTGTCAAGGCAATGCCCTCTGCGCGTCCTCCAAGCTCATACTCCACTCTGCCCCAAGAAGATGCATGCTGTGAAAGTAAAAGACAAAAAAAAAAAAAAAAAAAAAAAAAAAAAAGAAAGAAAGAAAGAAAGAAAGGAACAGACTGCACGCTCCTCCCAGCCTTCTTCCTCCTAACCAGCTCCTCAGGCCTCTGCCTGGTTCTACCGTCCTTCCTTCTTCTCTTTAGCATCCCGGATGCAACTCCACGAAACTCTCCCCAGCAACCCCCTACTCCTCCCCTGTCTGGACTTAGGTGATGGTCTTCAGCTCTCTTCAGGTTAGGGAGGTTTCACTTAGGTTGTTAGCCTCGGTGATGACCACAGCCCCCACCCCGGGGTAATAATGATTCACTTGTACGGGGCTCTTTTATGCACCAGGGGCTTGATAAATATCCCTGAACACAATCTATCCTAGCTGTAGTCTGTGCTTTGAGGAGGGAGCCAAGGTGTAGAGAGCTTAGGCTGGGCCTCAATTTCACTCAGGGTCAAGGATTCAAACTCCACTAGTCTAGAACCAGGATCTGCATGTACCGGTGCCATGCCACGCCATGCTGCCCCGCACCTCAGCCTCTGCCCCCAGGCTGGACTACAGCCAATACTTTCTGGGAGCTGTACACCCCACAAACCAACATACCGCAGCCAAAATCACTTTGGGCTTCCCGATTCTCCTCCCTTATATTCCCTCTTTCAAGTTTTTCCAAATTATATAAACAATGACTGTGCTTGATTAACTCTACAAAAATGGGCCACGCAGGTCAACTGAAATCACCTTGGGGCTCTGGTTCAGGGTGTGGGAAGAGAGGGACATTAGTGCATCAAGTAAGCAATATCTAGTTAATCAAAGAGCTGCACAAAATGTTATTTAAAGCTGGGAGCTACAGAATGAGTTAACCAGGCAAAGCGCATGTTTGTGTGTTTGTATACTTGTGAGGTTTTGTGTGGTTTCCTTGGCACAGGATACAACACATTCAAGAGGACCAGTGCTCCTTGTAAGAAACCAGCACGCACACACAGGAATGGAAAGAAAAGCTTCGTGAAATCATTCCAGACTCTCTGAGATTTATTTTCTATTTCACTTTTAAAAACTGAAAGCTATTGCTATAAAGAAGCATAAACTTGAATCATTTGTGGCAAAATGGACGCACCCAGTGACCATAATGTTATGAGAAATAAATCAGACACACAAGCTTTAAGTATTCCAGGGCTTCTCTCATAAGAGATAACATAAATAAAGAGCAAAAAAAAAAAAAGATAGATAATAGGAAATAGTGAGATAGATCTGCATATGGGAAGAGAACAAGAGATGGAAGAGGGAGTGAGGGAGGGAGGAGATTAAAAAGAAGAGTTAAGGTGTGCTAGGTCCATGTACCGATTGCACTGGAGGATTGTGACCATTATGTACCACAAACACACACTGATAAAGAAGCCTTGACAGAGCCGCTGAGAGCTATCCCCACTTTCTTCCTTTTACCTTGTCCCTACTGTGCATTAAAACCACATTAAATTACTCAGTTTTCCACTTTGTTCTTTCAGTGGGATTGTTTACCCAGAGTCATAGATGCTTGTTCCCAAACTTGTTTATGCCAGTTGTGTTTGTCATTGATCGAGGGAATTGAAGATAATGAAATAGAAGGAAGACAAGAAAATCGTTTCAATGAAGACCAAGTTCAAAGTGTAAGAAAGACTCAAGGTTGGTGAAGAAGCCCTTAGAAACAAAAATCTCTCTCTCAAATTGGAGTATCTTGTTACTGTGGCCTCTCTAGTTCCTGTCACATTGCCTGGCTTATCACAGGAACCCGTAATAATAGCTTATACTGTTTGAGCCCAGGCCGTGTGTCAGACACAAAGCTGAGTGCGTTTACATCCTGTTTCCTTCCTTAACCCTGTGGCAGTACTAAGAAGCAGGTACTATTTTATTCCCATTACAGATAATGAAACTAGGAATTTGTATGGGGAAATATCTCATCCAAGATTGTGTGGAGTGTCATAGGTGGAACCTGAATCCTGGATATCTGACTCCAGAGCCTCCACTCTCCACCGTGGATCACCCATCCTTGCCAAGTGTCTGGAATGCAAGCGTGCACATACCCACAGATGACTCCTCTGCTGGCAGCTTTCCCCACCATGCCTCTCAGAATGCTAAGTGGCGACCAGGTTAATGAAGAGCAGTCTCCATGGCAACGAGAGAAGGCGGAAGAAGTATTTTCTTCTGAATGAGAAGCTTTTTCCTTGATCTTGCATGCAAAGAGGCTCCAGGGTGGTGGGGAATCTTCCCATGAGAGGCAGGCTGAGATCTCTGCTCCTGATGAGGAGGCCCAGCCAGCTAGTTGCTCTAACCAGTGTTCAAGGTCTCCCTGGCTTCTGCTGGAGAGGGGGATGGAGGAAGAGCTGCTGTCCTGCCCTGCCCAGGGCCGCTTCTTCAACAACAAAGCTTTTTCTGGTCTCCTTGTCCTTCTGGAAGTGTTAGCCTGGTGGGAGAGACAGACATGAACATGTTACTGCAAATAGTGACTGCCCGGGCCAGATTGGGAAGTGCTGGGGGAATGGGAGGTGTAGGGGAAGGGGCACCTCACTTGGGCTGGCTGTCAGGTAGGTGGAACGTCCATGGAGAAGTTGAGGCCCATGTCAGGAGTCTGGAGCGTTGCTGCATTCCATGGAGATGGAAACCCCCCAAAGCACAAAGCATTAACCCCTGATTGGTTCCAACCTATTACTCATTAAATGGGTGACTTCTATTTTCTGAGGTAGCCAGGGACTTGCAAACTGCTTTTGCTAAAAAACAAAACAAACAAAACAAACAAACAAACAAACAAAACAGAAAACATGTGATTCTTCACTTGGGCGTGCGGGTGCCTACTAGGTAACTGAAAACAGAACAAAGTTATTCCAAGTAGAAGCAACCATCTCATGGAGACCTGGCTGACAGACTACATCCTGGGAACCACTCAGGATACCCAGAACTGAGGCAGTGTCAACTAGACCCTGTCCCACCCCAGAGGATCCAAGCCTTGATTTGTCCCTTTGTGAAGGGGCCATCCTGCTCCCCTCCCTCAGAGCACGGTCCTCCGAGCTCTTCAAGGCGAAGTCTTCTCTCTCTTTTTTCTTACTTTCTAATTCTGCCTAATGAATGAGTTCTTCCTCTCCTGACGTGTCCTAAAATGGTTTCTGTGACAATGTGAAGAACCTGCCTGGCCAAGCTGAGGTCCTCATTTCTTGATTAGGGGTCATCCTTGGGTCTGTTGGGTGACTCCAGGGCTGGACAAAGCCTGAAAGATAGAGTGCAGGGCTGAGGGCAGGGTCAGGGTAGAGGCCTGTAGGCCAGGGAAGTTTCTGCTGTACCCTGAAGGCCATGGCAAGAATTTGAAGAAGGCAGGTGACTGTCAGAGTTGCATGTGAAAGTAATCCTTGGGGAGATTGGCTTGGGGGTGGAGGAGGTCACTCTGGTGGCAGCAGATGTTTCTCAGCTGTGAAATGAAGCCCCGCCATCCGTGCCCACATCTTCTTGCCTGTGTACCCTGGGCTTCCCTTTTGGAGCTCCGGTCAAAGCTATGAGTTCTTCTTAAATATTGATCACTGCAGTTCATGCATGCCTTCCGGCTTTCTGCAAAGGGAAATGGTGCATAAAAATCATCCTAATGACCTCTAAATATGGTACAATGAGATATGATTAGGTACATTTTTTCCCATTGTGAATTTGATCATGACAGAAAAACATTACCAACATAAGGAATCCTTATAAAGCAAACGCTCACGCCCACGGAACCATGGCTTGGGTCAATGGTGGCGGACCTTTTAGAGCTATCAGTGAACAAACAACCGATGGTGGCACATGTGTCGTAGGTTTTGTCACCACTGCCCTAGATCATGGTGAACTTTGTCAGGACCCAGAAACAACCTCTGACCCCTGCTCTGTGCTCTCCTTCCCTAACAGATGTTTATGGGAACCGTTGTTATCTTTCCTCAAGGTTTTCTGTGTGTCTATTTCTCTCCTACACACATAGGCCTCTCTAGGTGGCTGTGGGGCTGGAGGAAGGATGGAAGTGAAGAGGGAAAGGTTCTTCCCACCTTCAGCCTCAGATCTTGTCCCCAAGCAGGGGAGGAAACCACCCTCTGGAGTCTGAGTACACAGAGGGGTCCCCAGGGTTACACAGGGGAACCCAGGTTGGGCTCTTGGCTCCAGCCAGGTGGCCCAGTTTGGTATCCTCCAAGCCAGGGATGCTGATGGCAGTTGAGATTTTCAGAGTGCTGGGTTTCTGGGTCCCACTTACTTTTCCAGGTCTTTTAATGTCCTGGACAGGGAGGCAGGACAGGTGGATTTTCCCATCTCACCTGGCCAAGTAACTTTAGGGTGGAAGAGCACAGGCCATAAACAGTAGGGGGAGTCAGCCTTTAATCACAATTTCTCGTGGCTCCTGGTCCACACTTGTCTCCCTGCCGCAGGCACCGCCTCTCTTCTCTTTTACCTAGCCAATCTCGCCCCCAGAAGAGAAGGTTTTGTGGGACTCACCATCCTCCACCGCCCCTCCTGCGGTTCTCGGGAATCAAAGCAGAAGATTTTGATCTGGCCACAAGATGGCGCCAATCAACAAGGCTTCACATGATATGGTCTCTTGGTCTGCAGCTCTGATTGGGTCCAGGGACTAAGGGAAGAGGGTTAGGTGCACCCCTACAGCCCACCCCTAGCCTCCACTCTGGCCACATCGCACTGTTTCCTAAGGGCAGATCTTAGGAAGGGGGAGGAAGCAGGGAAAGGAGGACATATGGGAGGCCGAGGCAGCTGGCCTGGGCTCCAAAGCGACTTAGATGGGGACCAGGTCAGCACTGTGGACCCAGGAAGGGCCTCTGACTTGTCCTCTTCTCCTTGGGTGGCCCATGGCTTCTTCTGCTGGATCCTCCTCCCTGCCTTAAGAAAGCCAAGTCAACTTCGTTTATTTTTGGGGCGAGATGGTGGGTGCCAGGCAGGGGCTTCACATCAGTTTGAGGCGGGGCAGGAGGGGCTGCCCACAGTGACTCTGATAAGCCGCACCACCTTCTGCCTGCACCCCCTTTCTCTGAAGGGCAAATCCCCTTGTGTCACAGCCCCTAAGCGTCTTTCTCCCCGGACAAGATTATCTCAGTCTGGGCTGGACACCTGCTTCTGCTTGCAGCATGGATGCCACTTTGCTCCTGAACGTGGAGGGCGTCAAGAAGACCATCCTGCACGGGGGCACTGGGGACCTTCCGAACTTCATCACTGGATCTCGGGTAAGCTCACCCCCCCTCCCCACTCTAACCACCCCCTCCCCAGTGGACTTCACCTTGGCTAAAAAGCAGCCAGGTGATTCTGTAGCTGTCAGTCCCGGGCATCTGGGACACTGCCTGGGTGCCCATTCACAGGGCACTTTGGGGACTTTGCAGATTACACTTGAGAGCTGGCCGAAAGAGGGGCTTGGGGGGTTTTTAGAGCCCTGAATGTTGGGTGAGAAGGAAGGTCCTTTGTGCATTGTGGTGTTTTCTTTCACATGCTTGGTGGGTTTCCCTGGGCTGGTGGCTGTGTCTGTGGCCACATGGGCTTATTTCAAGAAGGCCTCCCTGTGCCTCATCCCTGAGGGAGTGCAGGAAAGGGTGCTCTAGGCTATCAATTTACCAGGTGTGGTGAGCTCACCAAGGAGAGCCTTGAGTCTGTGCAGGGCTTCGGCTGGAACTCGAGAGAGGTGTCTAGACTAGGCTCCCCTGTTTTGGTGACAGGTGACCTTTCACTTTCGTACCACAAAATGTGACGAGGAGCGCACGGTGATAGACGACAGCAAGCAGGTGGGCCATCCCATGCACATCATCATCGGGAACATGTTCAAGCTGGAGGTCTGGGAAACCCTGCTGACGTCCATGCGGATCAATGAGGTGGCCGAGTTCTGGTGTGACACCATTGTAAGTAGGTCACATTGATCTGTTCCTGGGATCTGCTCACCCGCATACTTCAAAGCAGTGGTGATTCAGGAGAGTTGAGGATAAAAGCTAAGTTTCATGAGGCAAATCCCTCATCTTATCTCTGCCACTGTAAATATGAGGAGGGGGTCCACCTGAAAGAATGGGCCCTGAAGTGACAGCCCGGGCATGGCCAGCTGGCAGGATGTGGGCTCACGTGGCCATGCCAAATAGGAGTAAGCCCGCCCTCTTCCTGGGGCTCCTTTTTTGTACAGAATTGTAATGCCTTAGAAAGTTTTGGCCCTGTGTTCCTGCTCTGTCCCCTTCCCCAGTCCCATCACCTTTGCACTTTCCCTGCATTTGTGGCGCATTACCCACCTTATCCGCATAACTTAGGGCCCTTGTTTTGTGGCCCACATAGAAACAGCAAAACCTGAGGACCACTGACAGCTATTTCTCACAGAAGCTCCCAGACATGTATGAGAATTGGTAAAGAAGTGCCCGTCACTCCTCACCTGCCTTCCTCGTCCCACACAGTCAGCGAATTCAGACACTGTCACTTCATCTGTAAACACCGAAATTCGTATCTCTGAAATGTGTGGATGTTTAAGGAAACCTAACAGCACTTTCACTGTTAAATATTATATTTTAAAAACTCAAACAATTCCTTCATGCTTTTGATATATAGGCACTGCTAGAATTTCTCTGGTTGTCTCCTCATTTATTCTTTGAAAATGAATGAGGTTGGTTTGTTCAAAGTCCACATACAGTGCGTGGTTGGTTCTGTGTCTCCCAAGACTCTTTATCAATGGGCTTTCTTCTTGTTTGATATGCATTTTTTGAAGGAAATGGGTCAATTGTCCTGTAGAAGTTTTCATTATGTTTTCTTCTGGTGGCTTTGCCAGGAATTGTTTAATATGTTCCTTTAGTCTCTTTTTAAAAAAATAAATTGGAAGTTTGGGGTACAGAGCTTGCTAAAATTCAGGTCTTTCTTTTTTTTCCAGAAGTATGTCACAGTGGGATGTAGGGCTAGGGCTAGGGTTAGGGTTAGGGGTAGAGTTAGGGTTCCATTGGGAGGTTAGGGTTAGGGTTAGGCTTTCACTGGGAGGGGTGCCACACGTGTCTCTCTTTCTGTGACATTAAGGTTTATTGGTGACAACCTGATCAGTCCACTGGTCCACTCCAATTTTCAGATTGACCATGCATCGCTAGACTCCTTACATCATCAGGGCCAATGAGTTGTTGAAAGAGTGGTTTGAGAGACAGAGATGGACTTGCACTGGAACTGGGTCCTTTCTTATTAGCTGTGGGAACTGGGCCTGTCCTTTCCACTTCTGCCAGTGTTTTTCTTTATCTATAAATCAACAAGAGCCTAAGGTTAAGGTTGTCTTGGTGATTACATCTTGATTGTCATCAAGATGGGATGACATCTGTGCTGGAAGCTCACAGCATGTACAGGGCAGTTGGAAAGCGGGAACTCTTATCTTGGGTTAGAAGGAATGTGGATTAGCTCCTTTATCTCACTAAGGGGAAAACTGATCAGTTAGCGAAAGTAACTTGTCCTGGGTTGAACAGAGGATCTGAGTGATATCTCGACCCTTTGCACCTGCCCCGGGCATGCTTCCTGTTAGTGACCACTGCTGCAGTGAAGTCCTTCCTCTGCACGAGGCCATCTCATCCAGTGCCTGTCACTCATTTTATGTTACTTAGCAAATAAGAGTCACACCCTTTGGCTTTGTGGCAGGCTCTGTGCTATTATTTATCTGGATTTTTCGGGTCATTTTTTTTTGAGGTCCTGGGAGTTTAATCCGGGAGGGTGGTGCCCTTATCACTGATCCTCAGCGTTAGTCCTTTTTTATTTATTTCTTTCTTTTTTGAAATAGGGTTTTGCTGACTTGCCTAGGCCTGTCTCAAACTTGTCCTTTTTCCTCAGCTTCCCAAATAGCTAGGATTGCAGGCGTACATCACCACATCTGGCATCCTGATATTTTTATCTTTAAAAGTGTTTTTAATCAAATCGTGATTTTAGAAAACTGGCTTTTTCTGTGACTTCAGTTATTTTTAAAATCGTATGTGTTGGATTTGTTTACGGTAAGGAGCTCTTATCCTTCCATAGGGTGTGTATTTTCTCACGTGGAAGAGCTGCGTACATGGAAGGCAGTCAGCACATTCTTCATTAGTTGATGGACGTGTTGTTTGCAATCTGCAAGCTGCTGCTGTCCCCACAGCGCGGGCAGGACGCTTCGTTTCCTGTAGGGTCTGTTCTTTGGGTCAAGTTGGTAGTTACCTTTCATAAGCTGGCAAATTTTATGCCGTGGTGATTGTTGATTTTCCAAACAGCCTCTCATATCTTCTCCCAGCCCATGGCTGTAGCTATATCACACATCCATGTACACACACACACCCACGCACACGCACACACACACTTCTAGAGTTGTTTGTCCACCTGTATATCCATATTTTACCCATTCATCTATTCGTCCATTCTTTTACCTACACAGGCTTCAATTCTTCTGTTGTTTTCTTAAATGAGGCATTCATAATCCAGATTTCTACCTCTACATTCACCTCTCCTTCTCTTCATCAATCCCTCCTCCCTACCCCTCATTAATGACCTTCACAAGGCCCCTGTGTTGGCCTTTTCCACACATTAGAAATGGCAAAGTTCCCAGCCCTCAATTAACTTCAGTTCTGGAAGTGGAGATGACACCTGTACCATTATAATGCCGAGCAGCCAGCACACTAACATAAGGAAAGGCACAACCAACTGCGTTAGGCAGGGTTTCTCTACGAAGATGCCTAGAGTCTTCAGGGGTGAATAAGCGTGGCCTCCAGAGTGAGCCATGAGAAGGCTGGGCGTAGTACACTCAGTTGGCCCCCTCTGTGGGGATCTCTCCATCTAAGAATTGCCAGCCTAAGCCATCAGCAAGACCACTGTCTGTGGAGAAGGTCTGACTTTCCCCAGCAGTCACAGTGCAGAGCTCATGCTGTCCACCTGGAGTGACCCGGATGTTCAGGTGTCTGCAGAAGCAGGGGCTTCCTCCCTTCCTCCTTTCCCTAGGCCAGAGAGGTGCAATCACTGAGGGATTGTGGGAATTTCTGCCTCCAAATGCTTTTCTTCCTTCACCCCAGGAAGGATGCTGGCAAACTCAGATTCTCCAAGGAACAGGAATCTTTCTTGGCCCTTTTAAGGGGAGCAACTCTCAGTTTCCTCTGGGAAGTTGCAACCTGTGAGGGGCAGGGTCCATCCAATGTGGCAGGACAGTCTGTTCTGGAGAAGAGCCAGAAATCTGTATTAGCGTGTGAGTTTAAACTCTCCCAACATTTAAACATTTCCAATCAATAAAAAAAAAAAAAAAAATAGACAGGAAAACAGCCCGTACTATGAAGGATGAGACAAAGATGATCCTGGATTTGGACATGGCCACTCCAGTTCACGGCCTCTGTTGCAGGCCCTTGGACAGAAGCAGGCTCTGGCCTGGAAGGCCCAGAGGGGGATAGTGGTGCTGGGCTCCTCCTACTCCAGTTGCAGCCCTTGTGAGCTGAAGGAATCCAGGGGCTGCAGACTGACTGTACAGAGCCGTGCACATGACGGTGGTTGCCTATGTGGCCTGCAGCCTGGCAAGCTATGCCTCAAGGGCGGCACAGCACAGAGATGGCACCTTCCTTCCCATCCTTAGGAGCTGTCCTTAAAGATGCTAGATTCTGCCCTGTCTCCAGACTTTATCCTCTGTCCCAGGATTTCTTCTGGCTTCTGTGGGCATCCCTCAGCCCACAGGTGCTAACCAAGGACCCTAAAGCTGCCAGAGTGCCCAAGCAGCTGCCTGGCCTGCCCCCTCCCCGCCCCATCCACATTCTACTTGCTGGGCTGCTGAGCCAGGGCTGGGAGTGGCCCTCTCTGTGGGAGGCTCCCTCCCGCCCCAGACCTGCCTTCCTTAGTCCAGCCTTGGCCCTGACAAGCTCAGCTGCCATCTGGTCATCCCTCTCACAAAGTAGCAGAGGTTGTCTGGGCTAATCTGGGCTGGCGCAGGAGGGAAGGTGACCTTCATCCCCATGGGTCTGCCCCTGCCTGTTCCGGGCACTGTGCTGTGCTGCACGTGGAGCCCGAGCTGGGCCAGCTCACAGCGGTGTGTAGGATGTGGGCACTCAGGTGCGAGGGTGGGGAGGCTGAGGCCCAGGGGGACAGGCCTTGCTGAGGCTCTGCAGCTGATTTTCCCAGCCTCCTCTACTTGAAGGGTGGCAACCCCAGCACCCAAGGCCCGATGAGGCTGCAGTGAACCACACCTATGTTTGTGCCATCCCTTTTAGTCCCCATGACAACCCTAACATCAGACACGGCCACCAAGGGAAGAGAGGCTAAGGGGATGTGATGACCTGGGCTCACTGCCACTTAGCGGCAGCCGCAGCCTGTTGAATGGTCCCTCCCAGACTGGGACTCTGCTCCTCCTCTGCCGCCCACTGCCCTCCCTGTGAATCCTGGGCTGTGGAGCTCAGGGTCTTCTGGGGTTGGGCAGGGGCTGGCAGCAGGCAGGGTGACACTAAGAGCCTGACCTCTGCAGTGGGGTTTGGGTCCCTCACTGGCTAGCTGTGTGGTCTTACATGAGCTGCTCACTTCTCTGGCCCTCAAATCTGAGCCATGGAGATATTAGTGCTTCTTGCACTGGTTGCCACCAGGCACACAGTGCTTGTCTGAGCTACAGGTGACCTTGGCTGTCACTGGTGAGCGTATTGGGGTTCTGCTGTGGGGGATGCAGAGTCGGAGCCTTTGAGCTCAGTCAGCTCTGAGCAGCCACAGATGTCACCCCGCTCTTTCCCACAGCACACAGGTGTCTACCCTATCCTGTCCAGGAGTCTTCGGCAGGTGGCAGAGGGCAAGGACCCCACCGACTGGCATGTGCACACCTGCGGGCTGGCCAACATGTTCGCCTACCACACCCTGGGCTACGAGGACCTGGACGAGCTGCAGAAGGAGCCACAGCCCTTGATCTTTGTGATCGAGCTGCTGCAGGTGGGACTGCGGAAGGGAGGGCACGGGATGTGCTGGAGTCAAGGAGACAGGGACAGTGAGCAACGCAGGGAACCTGGCCCTACTTGTCTGAGGACATGGCCCAGTTTATAAAGAACAAGACAACATTCAAGAGCTGGTTGTGGTGGTGCAGGCCTGTAATCCTAGCCTTTTAAGAGGCTGAGGCAGGAGGACTCCAAGTTTGAGTCCTGCCTGCAGAACTTAGCAAGACCCTACTTCAAAACTAACTAACTAACCAACTAACTAACTAACTAACTAACTAACTAACTAAAGACCAGGGGTGTAGCTTAGCACAAAGGCTCTGGCTTCAATCTCCAGTACTGGCAATAAGAACCATAGGATAATTGGAATCTGGGGGAAAAATATTCATTTTCCAAAGAAAAAGTCTTTTAGGAACCAGTATCTTATTTATTTTAGGTAATTTTTATTATTTGCAATACACAGAGCCAGTGTATCAAAAATGTGAAGCGTTTTCCCTCGATTGGGTATCTACTTCCATTTTTGCTTTCAAGTGAAGCATTATAACCTCTTCCTCCATCCTTGTAGTCTGTGAATTCAAACTTGGTCCTGGAGCAGCAAGGCAGACTGCCCGGCACTGCCGACAGCCTCTCAGGCACCCAGTCCCCAGAGGGGTCCTCAGCCCACATTGTGGGGTGGCTGAAGGAGCCAGAGTCAGAGTCAAGGCCAGGTCTGGACTCATCATGTGGTCCAAGCTGAGGCTCAGCTCAAGACCGCATGGACAAATCAAAACAAAATAGAGAGTGTGGCACACAGGTGCAGTTGCAGGCCTGCGTGAACAGCTCAGGCTCCATGCGCTGCACTGGGGGACCCCTCTGAGGGGCTCACTATGGACACTGTATTTTGTATTTTTATAATGATGAGTTTGGCAGGTGACATAGATGTGTTTTGTTCTAAGGAAATGAGTGTTCCTGACATTTTTACGAATATTGGAACTCTTTCCTAATTTCCATGATGCGCTGTTTAGGGCTGGTCCTGCCACTCCAGCCTCTCTCCCCTGCTCCACCAGGGGTGGCTGCCAGGGGGAGCCTCACTGCGGTCAAGGCGGATCTGATTTCAGCCACCCCCGCGGGTTCCACCTGCTGGGTTGCTGCTGGGGTGTGGCCCCAGGGGTCCCTGAGACACTGACCAGTGGCTCCTGCGCCAGGTGGAGGCCCCCAGCGAGTACCAGCGGGAGACATGGAACCTGAACAATAAGGAGAAGATGCAGGCCGTGCCCATCCTCCACGGAGAGGGCAACCGCCTCTTCAAGCTGGGGCGCTACGAGGATGCCTCCTCCAAGTACCAAGAGGCCATCGTCTGCCTGCGGAACCTGCAGACCAAGGTGGCGGCTGCCATGGGCCTCCAAGGTTCGAGGGAGGGCGTGCAGTGGCCCGGGCTCATGCCCATTCTCTGTGCCTGCAGGAGAAGCCCTGGGAGGTGCAGTGGCTGAAGCTGGAGAAGATGATCAACACCCTGATCCTCAACTACTGCCAGTGCCTGCTGAAGAAGGAAGAGTACTACGAGGTGCTGGAGCACACCAGTGACATCCTCCGCCACCACCCAGGTGGGTGTGTGGCCGGTGGGGTGGGCACTGGGTGGAGGAGCATTGCCCAGGGCCACGGACTTCTCTTCCCAGGCTGTGCGGGCACCATGCCTTGGCTCCGCCCTGCAGGGAATGGGTGGGAGGCATTTTTAACAACCTGCATTTGGGTACCTCCAGCGGTACCTCACCAAGCTCGTGATCGTGTGGAGTGGTAATTAGGCTTTCTAAGGAAGCAGGCAGCCAATCCAGAGAGAAAGTCAAGTCCACGCGAGTGGGGTGGCCCGGATGTGGCCGTCTTAGTGAAGAAGGTGTTGGAATAACGTTAACAGCACCAAATCCTTAGGCTCCAGGCCCTAAGCCCCTGCCTGTGTTATTTCACGTAATCCTCATAATCCTCGAGCTACCTTTGGGGGCAGGTTATGCACTCTGAGGAGCTCCTAGAAGAAACAAAATGCAAATTCTGAGCATACAAGCAGTTACAGGAATTCCGAGTCCACGCCAGAGAGGGGAGCAGGTGCTGTTATTATTAACATCTCTATTTTATAGTCAAGGAGACTCGGGCCAGGACGCTTAGGGAGGCTAGGAATGGAGGGCAGGGTGGGCCTTTGCGAGCCGCGGAGCCCCAGCCCCTGGGGCTGGGCAGGCGGTGCAGCCGACCCTCCCCGCAGGCATCGTGAAGGCCTACTACGTGCGCGCCCGGGCTCACGCGGAGGTGTGGAACGAGGCCGAAGCCAAGGCGGACCTGGCGAAGGTGCTGGAGCTGGAGCCGTCCATGCGCAAGGCGGTGCACCGGGAGCTGCGGCTGCTGGAGAACCGGATGGAGGAGAAGCGGGAGGAGGAGCGGCTGCGCTGCCGAAGCATGCTGAGTTAGGGCTGCCTGCGCCCTGTCCCCGGCAGGGGTGGCCGCCTCCGGGGACCCAGGCGGTGCCGACAGCCGGGTCACTTCCGGTTCACCCGAGAGGATTTCGGTGTCACTCTTTAAAATTTAGTATCTGAGGGCTGAGATCCAGCTCAGCGGTAGAATGCGCGCTTAGCAAGTTCCTCGCTTAGCAAGTCCGCACCCCTGCCCTCCCTTCAGCTGAAATCCAAGCCACTGGGGAGAAACTGTGCAAAGAAAAAGGCAGACTGTCATGGGGAAGGGAGAAAGGGGAGAAGAAGAAATGTATATGACAGCTAAGATAATTACACAGCTAGCTTCTCTCTGCTCCTTGTGCTGCTGTTGCCTAGACAAACACTCGGGAGCGTGGCCTGCGCTGAGCCCCTCGCGGGAAGGCAGCGATGCGTGGTGTCATAGCCTGTTTGGAAACTCGGTTTCGCTGCTTATCTTTTTTTCCTCTTTAAAAAAAGAAAAAGAAAAAGAAAAAGAAAAAGAAAAAGAAATCAAAGTCATATATACCTACGGTAAGAAAAGCCCCTGAATAAACGAGGAGCAAAAGAGCACAGAAGAGCTTAAAAGTGAAGCCCCCACCCCCTATTAGCTCAGACCTAGTGGTTTTGCAGAGTTTTACTTCTTCCGTACTTTTCTCTGTCACCAAAAACGCATCTGCATCACTGCTGCTTGCTTCTCCCTACATCCTTTTACCCTATGTCATGAAAAAGGGGGACTGCGAGCTCCGGTAAGTCCTCCCCCAATTTCTCCCTGTTATGGAGAGTATCTTTTTGCGTTCTCTCTTGGTTTTTCTCATTTTTCTCCTCCTTTTTCACTCCTCCTCCTCCTTCTTTTTAAACTTTATACACAACGCTAAGCTGCCCGAATTTCACTGACTTCAGCTACCTGGTGAATCTGTGTGGGGTTGGGGTAGCCCTGCAGGATAGGGAAGCCCTCCCTCCACCTCTCCTGCCCCCTAAACTCCTGCGTACTTTGCCTTTCCACCACCCTAGATGTTAACATCCACCTTGTGCTCTGTGTCCACAGTGAAGCCCTTTGTATTCTGTCCGTGGCGGACTCTGAAGTTTGAAAATCAATAAACAGCATTTGCATGGTTGTGGTCTTGTAAGTCTTTTTCCCTGTAGAGCTTGCAGGGCTTTGACTATATTTCTTCTTCTGCGGTGCCAATTTCATGACCCTGTGCCCCCAGAATAGGATATTCTTGGCGTCAGGAGAAGCAGCACTTGCTCTCACATGGAGTGGCTTTATTTATTTATTTTTCTTTGGCCCTTCCTTTGTTTTTCCCTGCGAAGGCCCCTCAGCCTTGGAGACGGTGGGTTCTTTTGTGTTGTCTCTGGCTTGGGGTCCAGGCCTACTGTGAAGAAACCAAATGGGAGGAGGAGGTTTCAGGGACATCAGAGGAAGTGGACCTTATGAGCTAGGGAGCAGCCAGGGAGGAGGGTCCTCAGGTAGGAGAGTCCCCTGAGCCCTGGAAGGTGAACAGCGAGGGAGGAAAAGTGGTGGGCCACTGCCTGCCCGGTAGGGGCTGCACTGCCCCGGGAGAGCAGCCTGTCTGGGTAGCCAGAGGCTCCTGTGTGGCTCAGAGCAGGCGGAGGCAGGTTATTGGAAGGCCAGGAACAATGGTCTGCACACTTCCCAGCTTCCCTAGTCCTGTGTGTTTTTGTGTGTAGGGTTCCTACTGCTGTCGTTTCCCCTGGGGACAGCGGGCTCCCACCCATCTGTCACTATGTAGCCCACAGAGCCTTGAGTAAGACTGATGTTTGATGTACCTAGGAGCCTTCAGAGTCCTGTCTGACCCTAACTATTTGGTTATTTCCCCCTCTGATGCCTCTGGACATTTGCAGGCAGATGAAAAAAGAGGACCAGGGGCCAGGACATCTGTAGATGTGATTGGGAGGCCCTCTTGTCCTATTGTCATCTTCATCTAAAGGCAGAGAATGGGACAGTAGAAGCACTTTTCAGAAACCACCACATCTCACACCTCATATTCTAGTGCAGAGGAGGTGGGGTGCAGAAGTAGGGAGAGCTGCAGGTGGCTGCATGACTTTCTTCTGTGCCCCGAAAATTAGCCTGGAGGGAGGTGCCCTAGCTGGTCAGGCCAGCACAGGGGTCCTCTCTCCAGGGCTCCTTTCCCAGCCATGTAGCTGAAAGATGTGTTTGAGAGGCCAAAGGGGGACAACAGGGAACAAACAGACTGAAGGCTGGGGACCAGAAGTCAGGGTTCTGGGTGTGCAGGAGTTCCACCAACCCTGTCCACCTCAACTACTGCAAGGGCCCCTCGGAGAGGCAGACTGGTGACAGTGATGGAGGTGCTTAGAAGTATTTTACTGTGTTGGGACCAGACTATGTGACTATGGCCTGGGGCCTGTGTGACCTTGCCTCGGGAAAATGGAAAAGTGTATGGGAGACTGTCGTGCTTCCTGGCTGCAAAGAAGAGGCTCATATCTGTAGTATTCTTAAGGCAAATGACTTTGCTGAAGATAAGGTAGATTGCGGGTATCTGGGCTGAGAGAAGAACTTGTTTTCCACTGCCTCTTCTCCTATGGTCTTTGCTTGGTACTAAAAATGGGCTGACCACTGAGATGAACGTGCTTGTCCACTGAAGACAGATGACCTCCTGTCCTCCTTGTGCTTTGAATGTTTTTTTTAATAATACAATTTGTGTGACATAGGATCTCACTGTAGTTCACATTGGCCTCAAATTCAGTGATCCTCCTGCTTCAGCCTCCTGAGTGCAGAGATTACGGGTACGTACCACCATGTCTCACCATTACAAATTTTTTTTATTTTAAAAGTGGTAAAATTAAACACAACAAAACAATAAAATAAGACATAAGAAAGCAATGTAAGAGATAAATTTCAAAGCTAGACAACCTGAGATCTTCACTGTCTATCACATTGTCTCTTGCTTTCTTCCAAATAGTTGTCCATGTCTTCACATACAGAGAATTCATACAAAACAACATAGTATAAAACTGATCTGAACAGGATGATGAAGGCGATTGAGGTCTTCAAAACCAGCCAATAGGGAAGTCACTAATGGCTGTCATAGAGTCTCCCGTCTCTTCAAGAGTCTCCCTCTTCAAAATAGCTGTCCATACTTTCATGTACATTGAAGTTTAACAAAACAAAACAGGTGGTGGGAGGGGTCGCTTGGTTTCCCAGTACTCCAGGTCCCAGCATGGTGCAGGTCCCAGTAAACACCAGAAGCTCCCCGTCCTGGGCCTCTGGAGCCTGCCACACTCACAGCTGCTCACCATGGCGTGCGGGGTGGGGGGGGGGCATTGCTTCAAGCTGTTTCTTTCTAAGGAATTGACCATTTCACTGCCCAAGTTCTGAAATGGCCAGCAGACCATAGAAAGACGTCTCTTTAGGCTCCTGCTTGAAACCAACAGTGTCAGAAGCTGCCCCCTTGATTCAGGGCCAGTGTACCTTGAATGCCATGTTTTTTGTCTGTCTTTATTCCGTGTGGTGCCCCACGGGTCTCAGGGTCTGATCAGCCCCGGCACAGGTGGGCATTCAGGTTTCCAGGTCTCTGGGCTGGAGCTTCCTGCACTGCTCTGTGCTGCCGCCCTCACTGACTGGCTACTCCACACATGGGCAGGTGCATTCCTGAAAGAAAAAGTAAGGGGGAAGTGTGAGAATTTACTTTAACTGGACAGCGACTTGGAACCTGGGCTTTGTTTGGAGCAGTGAGAGCAGCCAGCATGAGGGAAACTCATGTGGCTCTGCAGACCTCTCTATCCGGGTCCCTTTCCTGGGAATCAGTGCTGGTAAGCTGAGCATCTGCTCCCAGGTGTGAGCCGGGGCCATTCTCCTAACTGGAGTTGATAAGGACCTGAGACCGGGGGACCCTGAGACCCCTGCCCCTTGCAGATATATTAGTTTCCTGTGGCTGCTGGAGCAAATTACCCCAAACTTACTGACTGAAAACAGCATGTTTTCCTTTACCCCTCTGGAGGTCAGAATCCTCAGCGGGTTGGCAAGGTGCCTTGTTTCTCCAGCCTTGCCCAAGGAGAATCTGTTTGTTACTCTTTCTAGGTCCTAGGGACCACCTACATTCCTTGGCTCCTGGTCCCTCCTCCATCTTCAAAATCAGCAAGGTGGAGTCTTCTAGTCTCTGTGGTGTTCCCCAGCTTCCATTGTCACCCCTGTGTGCTTCTGAGCCTCCTGTCCCCCTCTCCCGTATAAGGAGCCTTGAGACAATTTTGGGTCCACCTACATCATCCAGCACAATCGTCTAGCTTAAGACCCTTGGCTTGATCACGCCTGCAAAGACCTTTTGCTACAGGTGACAGAGCTAACTGCATCCACAGAACAGTGCAGCCACCAGCTCATAGCTGAATGGGCCATTAGGAGGTGGGGCGGGTTGGGAGTGTGACTCCGAGAGATGTGTGTTCCCTCAGCCATTTCCCTCTCACTCTGCTCCTGGCTGTGTGAAACGAGCAGTGTCCTCCCCACACCCTCCCACTGTGATGTTTCTGCTTCACCCCAGACGGGAAGCAAGGGAGTCAAGTGCTCATGGGCAGAAACCATGAAGCTGAGCCCTAAGAAACCTTTGCTTCCAAGTGATTTCTGTGGAGTGTTTTGTCACAGTGACAGAAACTTCTGGGCACAAGGAAGTGGGCTTGTTGGGGTACTACCCAGCCTGATTAGTGTTCATTTGTCCCCACGCCATTGGCTACCCTGCCCTGTGCCCAGGGCTCGCCTTGTGTACTCAGCTGGTAGGGGACCCTGCAAGAGATCCAATGGCGAGAGGGGAGCTCCTTGGGCATTTTTCCTTCTAGACCCTCCTTCCTGGGCTGCAGTTTGCATCTGTGAGTTCCAGTCACAGCTGTGTTTGGGCCACGGCCCTCACTGGTTCTCAGAGCAGCAGTCCCTCCCCTCCTCGATTTCCCTGCTTAGGACAAAGTGTGGTGATGGCATCAGCCCCCAAACAAGTCCCATGCCCCCCACCCCTTGGCATTTCTCGCACCTCCTCCTTCACTTTCATTCTGTTCTCACAGAGCTCTTTTGGGCAGGACACCTGTTTTTGGCCAAGACCCCGCCTTACTAGTGACCACTGTCCCTCCAGGCTATGAGGAAGAGAGCAGGACAGAGAGCGGCTGCGAACACGCCCAGGGTCACCCAGCTAGGCAGAGCCAGATCTCACAAAGGAGGGCCAGAGTTAGCGTTTCCTCGTTCCACGCCCTGCTTCTGCCTCCGGTCTCTCTCGGGTATCAGCTGATGCCCTCACTTTGCAGAACCTGCTGCAGTGGAAGGGTTTGGTGTATGCCAGAGCTTGAAACACAGCACAGGCATGACTTGTCACACAGCCTTTTGAGGCCTCTCCGAGGCTCCTACCCTGGGTTGCGTCTCACCTCTCAGCAGTGTGTGCTGTGCCAGGGGCCTTGGAAGGAACTCAGCAGACTGGCCCAGCAGAGTAGCAGTGCCACCTCTCTGAGTGCCTTCCCCGACTCCAGGCGGGCACCATTGGCCACGCTTGGCAAGGGAGCCTGGTTTGCTTGGATCACTCCGCTGTTGGTGGCTGAGCTCTGGATCGGGTGGACCCGGAACTCGGAGTCCTATTGTCAGCACACCTAATGTTCAACACGTGGCAGGGGCGAAGACATCCCAAACTAATGGGTCAGAGCTTGGCACGTCTTTTAATTTCCTGCGGACCCATTGCTCCTATGGGGCCTTGGCAGTCGCTTAGGGTGGGAAGAGCTTGGGAGTAAGAGTTTATCTGGGCCTTACCCGTGTTCTGATTTCCTCCAAGTAATACCCAGTGTATCGTGCCAACCCTCTGACCACGGCGTTCAGGTTTGCTTCTCTGACAGCTGACCTCTATCGGGACATTTCTGTCTTGACCAGCTAGTCCATGAGCTGGGGTCATCTGGTCACTCCTGAGTAGCTGCTGTCCGGGAGGGAGCTGCTCACTGCTCGGCCTCCTTTCCCATCGCTCTCTTCTCTGGGATTTAATGGGAGAGGTAGGTAAACCCATTCTTGTTTATGGTGGCTGAGAGCCTGCTCAGCTCCTGGCCTAATTACAACTGCTCCATTACTTCAGGTGTTCTCATTAGTGCGGGAGTCTGATGAACAGAGTCTCGCCTTGTC